TTACGTGTCGGAGTTGCTCTTGCACCTTTTCTTGGCCGACATTTATTTATTCTCGTCGGGTTTTCTTCTCTTCCAGTCCGGCTTTCATTCGTCTCTTTCAGTCGGCGTTGATCTCAAGCTTCATCTCTTTATATCCGGCTTTTATCTCAGCCATCTGGCTTTTCCAGTTCAGCCTTCCTCTCTTCATATCCGGCTTTATCTAGCTAGAAGTCCAACAAAGTCGTCGTTTCTTCTTCCGCATGGCTTTCCTCTGCAGGTGGGTCCACTGGCATTCACTCGCAAATCCTACTTTCTGACCCAGTTGATGCGTTTTTCGTCGCTTCAACACGTTCGTACGGGGTTGTTGGATTTGGAGTGAAAATAATGACGACACTAATTGATGAAGTATCGAAACACACTGCATTTGCCAGTATTGTCAGGACAGCTCCAAATTCTTGGTTTACAGTCGTCGATGAACTACCATAAACACGCTGACACGATCAGCGACACAGCCTTCAGATTATCAGGCTATCACGGTGGAGACAGCTTTACTGCAAAGCACCAGAGTACAGCTCCCGACTCTGTTTGGTCGTTCTCAGAACTCCACGTACTCTTGGGACTCTCCACGCTACAACTCGCGATGCACTCGACGACACACAGAGCACGACTCCCTACTCTTCGGTTCAGTCGTTCCCGGAGCTCAACAGGCTCTCTCGACAATACACTAATTCGCGAATGCGTGAGACTCCTTCGTGGCATCGCCTACCCACTCGGCACTCGCTGGCCGGCTGTCAACGCGATCGACTCCGCAGCGATTGACTCGCTAGACGAGACACCAACTCGATACTGACTAACTCGCAGTTCAGACGAGGCATTATGACTCGCCCTCTCGATGAAACACACTATCTCGCACTTCTATCCGAGGCACACACACTGACGGACCTGCGGACAAGCTTGGGTTTATATAGCTTTGCGGCTTGTGTTCGAGAACCTATCTGGGCTAAAAACCGGTAAGAATTCGGTTTCCCGAAGGTTCTCCATCCGTCCATAATATATCGCCAATTTTGTCGCAATGTTTCCACATGGATGATTTCTTCTCGCCAAATGTGCCATTCTGCTTCCCTTTCCATTTTAGGGAACCCTAAACTTCTTGGGGCGGGAACATCTTACTCGCCTGTACATTTCCGTAACAATATATATAAGCAGCTTAAGTGTTTGTCGGTGATAGTTCATAGTTGCCACTTGGAAAAATGAGCGCGGAAATTAACGTTTTCATAGTTTTTAATTAATATCTCGGTCGATTAAAGTCGTACGAAGATGAGAACGGTAGCGATTTATTCGGAGAATTTTTGGAATCCGATGATACGCGCGTCGAACTTCAACTCGGCGTCCTTCCGTAGATATTCGAGAAAAAAGAATTTGGAACGTATAGCCAAATCGCTCTAATAGGGAAAACCCAAAAAAGAAAGTGGAAAAAGTAGGGGAAAATTAGTTTATAATTAATATCTCGGCTAATTAATGTTCCACGAAGACGCGAATGGTCGAAATGGCGTGCCACGGACTTGCGGAATCGAACGGTGTGCTTCGCTAAGCTCGGAAGCCAGCCGTTTCGGAGGAGATGATGTATTCACCCATATATATATGCGGCTTAAGTGCCTGTTTGTCGCCGATAGTTTATTGGTTGCTTGCGTAACTGTACTAGCCAATGGGGTGAAGTTGCCCACAGCACGGGTTGCGTTCAATTGAGACTTAGACAGTTTCTGTAAAACTTGCCTTGCTTGACCAGCAATAAGTCTAGGCCAAACGCTTAAGCGTGTTGCATTTTTTACCTGAGCCGCATGGGACCGGCAACTTTATGGTGCCTGTTCGTGAAGAACGGCGTAAATTAAACTATGATAGTCCTCGGCACGGCGACTTAAAATGATAAAATCTACGCAAGAAATTTTTGTCCAAAGAATCTTAACAGGTGAGTAAACATTTCTTATTTAATCACCTTTATTTGAGCTAGCGGGCTCTTAAGAATGTACCGCATTTGTTTCCGTCAGTGTCTCTACTTAAGAAATTAGCAAGAAAGGGGGAACCCCGTGGGAGGCCTAAAAAGGGGGTCCTCGCTCCGCCCTGGGTAATTCATTTAAAATTAGAGACACCTGCAAAATCAGTTTAATTACAATTTATAATATCTAGAATAGCATTGATCGCCGGGCGTTCTAGTTACATTATAAAATACACATTGTCTAAAACATGATTATGATATCATTAGGTAGAATTATTGTTGCAAACTTCAGTTAATCATTTGTTACAATTTCATAGATGAAACGTATAAGGTATTTCTTTCTCCCACCTTTCCAGCGTGGCTTCGGTGTACGGTACCCGCTGGGCCGGTATTCCTGAGGTCCGGTGGTTCGAGTCTCGGTTGAGGCGGGGTTGCATATTTTTCTCTTTTCTGCTCTTCCAATTAAACCTAATAAATCTCTACATTGGCGCCCGAACTAAAAGGTTGTGGGATGAATGATTCCCGCACCCTGGATTTGGCACTATTCCCCTAAACCAACCCTATTCCGCTCTTTAAAAAGGTGAGTATATAAGGTATTTCTCCCACGTCCCTAGCGTGCCCTTCTGGTGTAACTGTAGCACGCTGGCCGGATTCCAAGATCCGTGGTGTCGAATTCCCGCGATGCGGTTTGCATATTTTTCCCATTTCTTTTCTGCTTCCAATTAACCTAATGGCTCTACAAACGTACGACAGAAAGTTGGTGACTATGCAAATTTCGAATTCTTACTTTTAGAAAATCACATGGTAACTTGAAAAAGAGTCAGAAGTAAATGTATGCTACCAATGAATTATGTTAATCAGAAATTCTAAATATTCTGAACATGAGAGTATAAATCCGCAAGGGTGAATTTTTTGTCTTGTCTCAAAGATACCATAATATTTGGATCTCGAAGGTTTTATACCTAGAAGATATTATTGCAGAATTCAGTATCGCGAAAGTTGCAATATAGTTTGAAACTGCAAAAAGAATTTTCTTGAAGCTTTAAGTAGAATTTGAAATGATGTTCTGGATGCACTGCAGGAGGCTGCCTTTGCCTTGTGGTTGCACAAAAGAAACGAATTTCACATCAATACAGTTCATATTACACAGCCCGACTAGCTTACAGTTCAGCTCTGTTGCAGTACAGAAACAAGTATATTTCACCAAACTGTAGTTTGACATGTTTAACATAGGGCTGTTCAATGGGTTAAATGGCGGAAGACTCATCATTCAGGTGGCATTATCCTGACAACATAAGGAAAGGATGCACTGGTATGAACTAGATGATGTAGGAATAGGACAATGTTTTGTTATCCAATTACAGTCATTTCCAACTGTAGTCAGATTCCAGGTATTAGTTCATCTGGCTCGAAAGTGTAAGGCATATCAACAGGAAAATTCATAAGTACTGTTTCGTTAGTTAGATGATGGTATGAGGTAACATCATAAATGATAGATGAAGTTTTAGGTATTAGTCATGATGGATAGTCATATTTGAAAGAGTTTATTGGGCGTCACGTATGCTTCTTCCATGGTGCCTTTGGCGAAGCATTTCTTTATATAATGTAATACCTCATTGAACTACAGCAGTGGTGAATCTCCTTGGAAGCGAAAAGTACATGTTGAGTCAGACAGCATGCAACCTGGACCTGAATGCTACTGCATTGAGGACATGCATGGAGTATTGTGAGATGAAATGACACTTTGCCGAAAAACAAGCAAGGCTTTACCTGTGCTGTAACGGAAGAATGGAGGAACCCGCATCAGCTATTTAAAATCACTTTAACATATCAAGATAAGATATTGTGATTTCTGCATCACAGTTCTTCGTTGAGAACGTGAAATTGCCTGGACATTAGCAAAAACGTTTCATCCATCTGCCACCCATGTTCAACTTTTGTGTATAATTATTCTGCAAAAGTCTTGCTGCCGGTTGCTTTGATTTATCACTTCCAGCATGTTATTAGCTATCGCTTTGCGTTAAATACCAGGAAAGAAATAGGAACAATAATTAACCATTGATGTATAATTTTTCCATGTACGCAAAAATATCACTGAGTCCTAAGTTCTGTACATGTTCATAAATTAATCTTGTTATATTTCACCGTTATCTTCTTGGTATTGGGATTAGCCAGAAGGTTTTAAAGTGTTGTTTTTTTATAGATTTAGTAAGTAGTTTATGTATGACTATTTTTTTTAAACTTAAAAATTCAACTAGATGTGCCATATAGACAACGCAAGCTATACAATTCAATGAAACATTTGTGACATCAAGTTATCATATCTTAAAATTGTGAATTATTATGATATTTACGGACTCTAATCTAAACATTTCCTGCCTCAAGGAATTGCCTTTCTTTGGAATAAATACTTTTTTATTTATACATTTCTATTTGGAAAGTTTAAGCATTGTGCTTTATTTTAGCAAAAATGGGAGCTTTTCTGGCTGATGCCTTCATTTAAGCTTTAGTTATATTTGCTTGCTTTATGCAAGCAGAATTTTTTAATATGCGCAGAGAGCAGGATCGGCGCTAGAGCATGTGCGACCGGTGCAGCTACACCCGAATGCAAAAGTTTTAGAATTTAGGAGGAAGGAATCGGGTGGGAGAATTTTGGATTCTCGGAGTTTGCACTTGGTGGCAAAAAGTCTGGAGTCGGTCCGACTGAGAGTGCAATCATTTGTATCCTTCGTATTAGCTGGCTTATTTTGTAAATTTTCATCTAATCCAGGGCTTCTTTTATAGTGTTCTAATTTCGTTAATCTGGATTCTCTATGAAATGTGATTTTTGCATTTTTTTACTATGCACTAAACCCAGTTAAACAAATTATCAAAATAAATTCCACTCTGCAAATATAAGGTGTATTGACAGCTTCACTTCTTTAATTGGACTGTTGATTAGCCAACCTAATATCAGACAGTTTTTATATGTTCTAAGGAACAATTTTAAATATCAGATAATACAGTATTTTATTGGGGAAAAATTAAAATAATTTCAAAGAAACTTTATTTCTTGTTTATTACAAATATATTATTTTGAGAACATAGTCAGAAAACAAAAATACAAGTTCAGCCACTATATGTAAACTATGTACAAGTATAAGATGCATTTAAAATGAATCTAAGATGAAATAAATATGAATTTAACATTATCACAACAAATATGAATTGAAAAACCATACATTAAATAGCATAGTCCTTAATATTTCAAAAAACATCATAGCATTGTGACTGGCACATGTTAAACAAACTGTTATCAAAATGTATAAAGTTTACTAGTTTCATTGATAGATTCAAATACCTTCAGTGTATTTAATAATAACAATAACTTATTTTCTATTTCTTAGTGATAAGAGTATTAAGAGTTAGCATTTTTGTTTTGTTTTGGCACTTGAATAACATCTAGTCATTGAATAATAAAACATTCAAATTACACAGATTTTCATATCTTCTTTACGTAATGAAACATATTTGTCATTGATTATGTTGGGAAATCTGCAATGAATGTAAGTTAGAAGTTGCATTTACTGTAAGCAGTAGTATTTACATTTACTGCAGCTTTGTAGTCTATTATTAAAGCATTCACATTTTCATCCCAAATTATTTCATTCGATCAAAATGAATAAATTGTTAAAACTGAATGTTATTTGTAAACTAATAAATGGAGTACGCTAATATATTTATTGCATGTGTATAGAAAAATGTGCTTAGTATGCATTAACTGCAAAAATAATTTTAAAAAATTGTTTAAATTACTAAAATGTTCAATGTAATGATGCATATCTTCAAAGAGAAAATCATATAATACAACATAACACATGCATTGAAATAATAATAATTTATCTTAAGATTTTATTACACACCACACTTTCTAAATTTCTAAAAAATTTTTGTAAAAATTAAATTTCTACTAAAAACGTATTATAAAAACTGAGCTTTTGCAAACGCTGCTGCTATATTTTAAATTTTCCAAAATTAACATTTAACGTCAGTGAGATATATAAATGACATAGTTATGTCTTTGTTGCCTGCATATTTAGATTTTATAAAATCTGAGCATTGAAATAAGGAGCTTGGTGCTCAATGATACTATATAATTTTGATTCTGTGTCTCTGTCTTTCCTTCGTCATATGACAGAGTGAATGAGATTAAATTGAATAAAAGTTTGAAACTCTGATTACTCTAAGATTGTAGTGTGATTTGAAAAAGAGATAAAATAAAGAGTAGCACAAAAAAAGTAGTAGGAGTAATTAAAAGTGTAGACAGTAGTTTTTAAATACAATTTCAAATTCTTCATAGTAGTTTCATCATTATGTGGTGTACAGTCCTGTAAGAAGACACTTCCATGTCCTGGACAGATGGTGTCTAGCGCGCTGTACTTCCATGTCCTGGACAGGTGGTGTCTAGCGCGCTGTAATATAGTATTATAGATAAGAAAGCAGTATATTTAAATTAATTTAAACATTTGATGCTCAATTAAGTTCAATGCCCCGAACAGCAGCCTATCTTACACATCCTTTAATTAATTTCTCTGGATGTGTGTATTACACATTAAAATCTCGTACTTTTGTTAATAACAACTGAGTCACTTATTACGCGAATGAGGCCTCTTATTTTTAATTCCAAGCCAACTTAATGAAATATTTACGAATTATTTAAATTTGAAGAAATTACAAGAAAAAATTCTTACCTCTTCACTAATATAGAATGTAAAATTGATAATCTGAAGTGGTCTCTTATTCACTATTCAACATTCATTCTACGCAAAAATAATGTTAATAATTTAATATAATATTATTTTTTTTGAAAGTTTATTTCTTATTATTCATTTCTTACTTTATAGGCAGGTGTTCTTTTATGAAAGGAACACACACACAAAAAAAAAAAAAAAAAAAAAAAAAGTGCAGAAACTTTGGTGAACGTCCTCAACATCATTTTTATATTTTGCTCGTAAAGACTTCAGTAAACCTTTTTAAATACATATTCCTAAAAAGAGATTACTAGCTTTATTTTTAATTTGTTCACTATTGAATTGTTTTGGAACTATGAAAGGCCAAATGAAACGCTCAGCAGTTTTGATCTCAGTCAGTATTTTGATAAAAGTTTTCTTATTGTTCACTTTCATTTCTTGATGCGTAACATTGCCATTATAACAGTCAAATTATATTGTTGAATGTGGGCATGATATGTCTTTTAAATATATTTACAGTGATTTGTCAATATCCAGTTTCCATACTTAATTGTTTTGCCACTTTAAGATCGCTCTTCTTCTTTTACGGTAAATTTGATCAGATCAACAATGTGGCTAATATTTGTCAATGATGAAGGTCATTTCGCTGCAACCACAGTTTGAATAAGAAATGCATTTTGATATAATTTAAAATATTTTAAGATATACAGCAAGCAATCGAAAACGAAAACATTAGATTTTATTGTTTATTTATTAGGCCAACTACTGAAAATATTTCAATATTTTCATCTTTCGCACTGTGTGAAACTGACATTGACAAATCAAAATATTAATGGAATCATTATCTTAAGGTGCATTTCTTTATCGGAAAAATTATATGCAAGTATGTAAGAGTTAATTTTTAAAGTGTTTTATAAAATGCCTTCTTGATGTCCTTTTTTCCTTTCTTAAGCATATATTCTTTTCTTTTTAATCGAACCAAGTTTGGAAGTAATGCAGGACCAATGCGCCTTTCTGAAGTAATGTATTGGGTAGATGAGAGAAATACCAAGAGCGATGAAATGTAAAAGATGCACATATAGTTCACTAATGATAAAGTGAAGTTCCGTGATGACAAAGCATTATGTTTCTAGGGCATATCACCAACTTTCGAAAGAAAGGGCCGCAGATGTTTCGAAATACCATCAATATGGTGATTCTGTCACGGCTGCAGGAAGGAATGTCGGAAGAAAAATAGTTGTTCAACGAATGTTCTACATTCATTCAGCTGTATACCAACACAAAAATAGAAGTATATGGTATCACATTTATATTGCAAAAGTTGTCCGACTCGTCAAGAAGAATTTTGCTTTTCTTTGTTGAAAAAGCTTCTTCAGTAACTATTTTTGTTCAAAAAGCAGTAGATTCTGTCTTGCCTTCACTTGAATCTGTTTTGTGGGCTGGAGAATGTGCACTTGGACGATGCCCTTGCTGCTGACCAGGGAAACAACTCCTTCTTCTGGATCTAGGACCTCTCACATTTGGTAGAGGGCCTACATCATCTCCTCCTACTGGTGATACATTGAATCTTGACATTTCCTGGATGCGAGATTTTGAAGGCCATAAGGAGTAGGGATTATCAGCATTGGTTAAAGGTCGATTGTACACGACGCTCTTCCTAGGCACACTGGACACCTGAGGAGCACCCTCTTCACTCTCGTCTTCTGCCTGAAAAACGAATATTTTATAAAGAATGGTAAAAGCTATATCTAGTGATTACATTAGTAATTTGATCTTCTGGACTAATGTGTCTGAAACATTACCAAAAACCAATATGAGGTTTTATTTATTTTTCTTAACAGTTAAAAGTTTAGTTCATTTGCTTTTTTTTATCAACGGTATGTTTTCAGAATTGCACCAGAATCATGTAAATTAGCCTTTACAGAAAGGGTAGTTCAGAATAGTAGCTCTGATTCAGAATAATAATTAATATTTCAGAATAATAATGAATATATATTTGGAATTAGCGTATGATGATTAGTTAAAATCTTGTTAGGCGTAAAATCGAGACATACTGATGATCACGAAATGAGGTTAATGTATTTCTAAAAGTAATATATATGTATGATGATAGTGTTTTCAGTTTGGATTCGTTTTATCTTGAATTCATTTTTGCTTTTAAGACAAACAATAGTCAGAACACTTTCTAATTTCATATCAATTCTAATTGATATCGATCATATCATTGATGCATAATCATACAATTGCTTCCATTTAGCAAGCATAATTTGCTATGTTACATTATATTAACTATGTATAAAATCTTAAAATGTAGCAATATAATGTAATTTTTTCGAACTTCTATGAAAAAAAAAAATCAGTGAGCATGTGCAAAAATTACTATTCAACATTTATAATGAAACCTTAAGATAATCTATGTAAAAATAGGAAAATTGCAGTGAAAACTCACTACTGCATCCATGAGACTAGGTAGACGGCTCTGTCTCCTTTTTTTCAGTTGGGCGGCAACTCCAGACTGAGATACACTTGCTCTGCGCATTGGTCCTGCATCCGCCAATCCGAGGCCAGGGGCAATGCTCAGTCTCCTAGACACTTTCTGGAAGAGAGAAAAATAAATACTGATTAAATTGAAAGCATGCATGATATTTGATATTTTTCTTGATGGAAGATTTTGTGATTACAGTATAATTTTGGTAGGACAATATTTTTATAATATTCATTATCTCTGAATCAAGATGCCCTTGCCGGGATTCGAAACTCTTGAATACGCGCCGAGCGTGCTGAGCATTACACCACGAAGGCATGCTAAGAAGAGGGAAGAAATATCTTATAATATTTATTGCTAAAAATAAGCTTATTTATCTAAGAGGTAAATAATTAGAAAAATAGGGCCTGAAATAAAATTGTCATAAACGTATTTTTCTACGAAATGTTCGTCTAGATGTGCCAGGCTCAGAACAACAGCAAAATGGATCATTTAGATTACTTCAAAGCACAGGGCTATCTGTATAAAGGAAGGGATGCTACTCTGAGGACGTTTTAAGAAAAACTGGCTCGTATTCACTTTACACATTTGGAAAAACACAAAAACGCGTATACAGCCAGTCCTTTCGCTGAGATTTGAACTCATTTAGAAGGGCGGCAGAAATAAAAAAATTAAAACATATACTACATAAATGGAATATTTTATTTCTTATCCTAACTTCAGATTCAGTAAAATGTTATACTTATCAGATATCAGATAACAAACAAATACAAATGTTTATCAGAAGAATGTAAATAACCAGTGTTAATGTGCAATCTTTTATTACGAGTAGTATGACCAGGACCAAGTGCCTGAATTCGACGAGGAATAGATTTATATATTAGTGTTAGTTAGTGGAATAAAATTATACATTTTATAGGTATAAATAGTAGTTAAAAGAATTTAGAAAAACTGTGCAAGTTCAAAGAGAACGTTAACAGTGCATCTTTACTCCTAATCTTTATTTAAAACATATCCCAATGTTTCAACTATGTTGAGATCGGAGGACTGTTTTCGGCCAAAGAAGGTATTTACTTCTACATGTTCCTCATACTACTATTGAACAGTTCTAGATGCATGGATATGAGCTTATCATCTTGGAAGATGCCATATTCTGCAGGATATGCCATCTCACACTATAGGATGGATGTGGTATGAAAAATTTTCGGCACACTCGTTGGAGAATATTGCGTCTTTTAGATTTATTAAAGAATCTGAAGAAAACGATGAAATATCTACCAGATCATGACAGATCTGTTTCCATGCATGCGAGTATGAGGCAATATTTATTTTGGAAGGGTTATAGAAAAAAGCATGAAACATGATTCACTTGATCAAACTACTTCCTTCCACATATTTGATTAGCATCATAGCTGCACCACAAACGATATTTCATATTAACTTCTGTTACAAGATGCATGAGACTTCATACTTTGCCATGATTATTTTGTTTATGAAGCTTTGCGTTCACTTTGGCTGCAACTCTCTTCTTTGATGTCACAGTCCACTTTAATAGCTGTTGATCTCTTTCATCCAACTTTCTCTTTCGGACATAATTGTATTCTTCAGAAAACGTTCTATTGTAAACTTTACATGCTGTTATGACTTTCATTGCTGTTATTCGGCAAACACCCAGTATTCCAGAGCTTCTGGGAACGGATGCTCCAAGCAGGTTAGGAGTCTGCAATTTGCCTCCTCTTAAAGTTTGAAAATTCTGATACCTTTCTCTAATTATAGAAAGTATGATGTATACAACATCATATTTGTTAACTGATAATAAAAAGCAACAGTTTTATTTGTAAGGAAAACTTCTGGTGGTTATATTGGTTATTATATAAACACAAAGCATATTCATAAAATGCATTATTTAAAAAACCATCAGGACACTTTTTACTTATGTTTGCATTTTTATTCTTATACTACCTTAAATTTTTTCTATCATTAAAATAGTTAAGAAAAGACAAATGACCAAAGTAGTCCATCATTAAACCTGTATAACTAAATAATATACTTTATTTAAAAGTAATTTAATTTTTTAAGTTCTTTGATAATAATAAAAGTTCAATGTAATTAAAATAGTCCATAAAGGCATTTTCCATTTCCTGATACCTTATTTTCAAAATTAGTTACTGAATTAACAACAATGTGTATGTTCAAGCCCACACTTGATAATTTCATTTCCATTTGCTTTTTGTACTTATAAGATTTTATTATTAAAACATTATTATTCTTACGGCACAACATTTTTTGTAATGTTTTTTTTCGCTATTATAAATAATTTTTAAAAATTTTTTTATTATAATAATTTTTTTGTTTAATACGCTATTATAAATAATTTTTAAAAAGAATATATGTATGATAACTTTAAATTGATAATACTGTATTAATGAGATCTGTTCAAATTTCCATTAAATATAATGAAAATTTCAACTTTTATTATAATTGTTAGCTTGCAATAATTAGTTGAGATCTTGTATTAAATTACAAGCGCTCAGCTTTAAAACGATATTGAAGCTAATTAATCAGCTAAAAATGTTCTTAATTACAAAATTAATATTTGTAATATTATTGTTAGATCCCGTATATCATGTGCTAACAATGCTGTAACAAATATTGTATACTAACATCAATTTTTCGAGAAACTATTCTTAAAAATGCAAAAATGATTAAAATGATTAAAACGTGATGATTTAAACAACAATAAGTACAAAAAATGAGACATTAAAAATATTTTATAGATAAATTTATCATATTTAGTTAAAAAATTATTTCCAAAATTAAATCTAGCAAAACGTGGTAAATTTTATTTCCCAAATGAAATCTATGTTCTCATAAATTAGAATTGGGGATCATTACAGTTTATGCATGGCATGCAAAGCCAAACCAGTGGTGTAATTTCATTTTAATTTATTTTGAAGTTTTCAGTAGTTATTGTTTAAAAATTTCTTTCGTAATTAGGGTAATTTAATTTTAATAGGATATTACAGAAAAATCCTTATTATAGAGTTAGATGGTATAGAGTTCAGGAATTATTAGAAGACAGTTAAATAAAAAAGCTAAACAAAATATTGCGTTAAACCAATGAAATATTGAACAAAAGGAAGCCTGTTTATATGGGGAAAAAAAAAAAAAAAACACAGAAGGTTTAACGATTGCTTTAGTGGCTCTGTAGAACTGACTGCAAAAAATAACTTCATGAAACTGGATAGAATAATGCTTTCTAAGAGTTTAATTTCAAGTTTCTGAGTTACTAGATACCATTCCAAATCACTTCATCCTGCAAAGCCTTTACGTGACTAGATGTTCAACGTTTCATAAAAGCTGATAAAACTTTAATAACACCTGCGTCAGAATTACAAGGAAATAAAAAGATCCTGCGCAAACAGGAAAAAAGTAAGTTATTAAACGGATGTTTCCGAGACCTATAAAACTATATGCATGAATTATTTCAAAGATAATTCCTTATTTTATTGCGCTTCTGAAAAGTGAAAAGACAGAATTTTAAGAAATTTGTGAACATTAATAATTTTATCTCAAGTGTGATGATTTTTGGAACGTCGACTTTTTACATCTTATTTGAGAAGTAAAATATTATATTTTATTTCATAAAATAAGCAAGATTTTGCATTTGTAGTATTTTTCAAATTATTTAAAAATATATTAATTGCTTTTGAATTACGTTCTTTGACATTTATCACTGTTTCCTTAAATACAATATGATAATTTTAGAATGCTTTTTTGTAAAACGCATCTTAGGCTGTCGCATTTTCTATTTGATGATACGTATTTTACTGTATTGATCGTGCTGCTGATTTCATTTTTCTACACTACGCGCACTACCACAGTGTAGAAAAACAAAATTTTATTCACAGAAAATTATTGAATTCGTGTTATAGAATAATGTGAAGGTTATAGGCTATAAAATGTCTTTGTACGACTTTAATTAGCGTAGATATTAATTAAAAACTCCTTTTCCCCTACATTTTCACTTACTTTGTTGGGTTTTTCCCTGTTAAAGGGATTTGGCTAGGCGCCAATTTATACTTCTACAAATATCTATGGTGTATTTAATTATGGCAAAGCACACTAGGGCTATCTGCCTCAGAGGAGGGATGCCTTTCGTGGAGGACTTTCTAAGGGAAACTGGCTCGTATACACCAAATATCTATGGAACGGCGGTTAGTTGAACTTCGAGACACATATTCGCTGATTCCAAAGATTCGTCGGATTTATATTTTCACAAATATCTATGGATATTTGATGATACGTATTTTACTGCACAGGATAAATTACTTCAGAACCTTATCAAATAATTCTGGTACCTACTGTTAATTCATCTAGGGAATTTCTTGTTGTAATTGAAACTATACCTGTACATCTATGACTAACGATTGCAGAAATAAAGAGAGGTAAAGGCAATTAAAGAAGTGGTTTTAACGGTTGCCAGTTTATGATCCTAAAAAAATATAAAACTTCATGCGGATATTTTTGCTTTCTGTGTATTACATGCTCCGCTTTTAGCGTATTACGCAGAAAGGGAAGGATGACCCGTGGAAGACGTTTTAAGGGAAGCTGGCTCATATCTAACATTACACATGGCGAAAACCACGAAAATGCCCACGCCGCAAACCCGTTTGCTAGGTATCGAACCTATAATAATATACGTTATTACTCTGGAAACTTTTAAGTGAAAATTGATGTGAAACCTTTATGTGAAAATTCTTTCGAGGTACCAAATGCAACAACATTTTAAATTAAAGACAGTAATAAATCTCGAAATTATGTCACTAAATGGCATTTAACGGGGGGAGGTATCAACCTCGAATTATCTTAATTTATCTATTAACCAACCCGACGTCAAACATCGCGAATTTTGAGAGCAACTATCTCGATCAAATTTTGTTGTACCGGCTCATACTTACAGCTTTTTTTTTTTTTTTTTTTTTTTTTTTTTTAATAACGAGGACAAAATTTTCTATGATTAAGTAAAGGGCCCGGAAGATCGCGTTAAGATTTAGATTTCGTATTTAATAGAAAATTAATTTTTAATTAAATAAAGATATGAGAAAATAAATGTGATAACGAGTCACCAACCCAATGTTATGGCAATCTGAAAATCTAACATACTTGATTCTAACGAACATTAAAATATTTAAAGTATTTGCAGGATAAATTTCTTCAGAACCTTATCAAACTTCTGTTACCTACTGTTAATTCATCGAGGGAATTTCTTGTTGTAATTGGAACTATACATCTATGACCAACGGTTGCAGAAATAAAGAGAGGTAAAGACATTTGTAGAAGCGGTGTATAAACGCGACTGTACTAGTGGTCAGCTATATTCCATATTAGACGAAATTGCAAGATGCCAGTTTATTTGGATGGATGTATTTATGTGAAAGAACGTTTCATTACACGAAAAATAAATCTTCTTCATTGGTTCGACAGTCCAGGGTGGGCGCTGGTCTTCTCCAGGTAACTCTGCTTTTGGCAACTCTTTTCCAGTTTCTGATCTTTAGAATGTTTAGGTCATTTTCAACACAATCGATCCATCTTACCGGGATCTATCCTGAGGTCTGGTTCTCATGGGCTTTGTTAAAAAGATTTTCTTACAACACCGATCTGCATGCATTCTGACGAGATGACCAGCCCATTTAAGTCTCCGTAGTTTGAAGAATTTTACTACATCATGTTGTGTATAGATCTTGTATAGCTCTAAATTAGATCTTCTTCTCCACGATCATTCGCACGCACGGACCACAAAAGAATATTTGTCTATAAATCTTGTATAGCTCTAAATTAGGTTTTCTTCTCCTCGATCCATTCACGCTCACGGATCAAGTACAACGCAGTATCCTTCGCTCAAAAATCCCCAAAGCATTTTGATCACGTGCGAAAAATAAGTATCGATCAGGAATTACTGATGAAAACTTACATTCGCTATTAAGGATCTCTGTAAGAGAGTTGAAACTTAATTTGGATGAAATCATTCCAAATGAATATTAGCGACTTCACATCTTCCATTAAGTGTATATATTAAGTAATTCCCCCCCTCAATGCACAGCGTTTGCGATAAAAATAATAATAATAAAAAAAACCGACTTCATTCATAAAATATTTTATTAATCATCGATTTCTTTCACCTTCTTTTTTTTTTTTTATTATTATTATTGTTCCTTGAAATTTACGTGCACATTTTCATTGGCTGACTCGCATGTAAGGCATCGTGAACCCTTATTCACCCTCTGGCATCCCAGTTACGCAATGCAGTGGGCCCAAACGAACACAGCTTCCACTGCAATTTTACGACTGACATCGCGCGTATTTGCTTAATCTCGCAACCGCCGAAAGGTTAAATGAAATGAAATATTTGTTTTAAAATGTGTGAAATTGTAACATAATTTAATTTTAACGAGATGGAAGAAGTGCCGCAAAGTTAGCTTTCGTCTAAAGACTGCATGTATTCCTGCTGAGGCTCTGTCTTGCGTTCCTCTAGGATTTAATGGATCCTTTTTATTTTCTCTCTTAAAAAAGAATCGCTGATATTTATGACATAAGAAGTCAGATTTCACAAACCAAAAGGGAGGAAAATGTATATAACCAAACTATATTTTTGACTTTGTATGAATTTAAAAGTATGTATGGAAAAGTTGTATTAATTCAATACGCAACCTTTACAACAACAGCTAAACTAGGAAGTAAATGTTACGTAAATATGGAATCTTAAATAGACAGAAATAATAATTTGTTAATTTACTGAATATCAAAATTGCTTAATAATTTTTAACATACTTTATAAACATCTTATTATAAATTATTAATTTATTGTAAATTAAATAAGTGGCTAATTCATATTGTATTGTCAGTGTACTATTAATAACTATGAGTTTTAATTATTTATCACTTTTTTTGAAAATGTTCTGACAAAAAATATTGCGAAGTAATATACAGTTTGTCCTGCACCATTGTGGTCTCATTTGAGTTTAGTTTCCTTTCATTGGCTGAAGCTACTTATACCTTTCATGATCATAAATGATTCATCATTATTTCTATTTAAAATGCCCATGATATAATGAGTTTATTCTGAATTTATTATTTGGCATTATCTCGAATGATTGTTGCCGTTAAGAACAGAGCCAAAAGAAGCTACTCAAAAACCGCGACCTTAGGATCAATGCCAAAAGCATCCAAAATGTCAGTGGGAAACAAACTGCCAAACATCAGCGAGAAAAGTATCGGGGACATTTTTTGATTAGGTATTGTTAATTTTAAGTGATCCCTTTGTATTTATTAACTTTTCAATTACGGAAGAGAAACTTTATATTGGTTCACTGGAATGAAAATATAATATATAAAGACAAAAGAATACGAAATAAATGTAGAATTTAGATGAAAATAATGCCACCTTACGATTTCGAGAATAAATGAATTTTTGTACATATAATTTAAAAACATGAATAGTAAAATTCTAAACCATTCTAAATCATAGATCGTCAAGATGCGCTCAGCAGTAACTCTTTGTCTATAAATGTATAGAACTATGGCAGAAAAAATTTAGAACCGAAAAGAATTTAATACTGGCTTGAAGAATCATGTTTTTGAAAATATTATAAAATCCTTAACAGTAAAGAAAAATTCAACAGAGTAAAGAAAATTAGAAATATCAAGAAATCGTAGTAAGAACTAGAATTTGTAGATTCTGAAATGAGTACGTTAAAAACGTCGAGGTGAAATGATCTTTTTTAATTAAGAGATCAAAATATTAATACGAAACAGTAAAATACACTGAAGTGACAAAAGTCATGGGATACCTCCTAATATTTTGTCGGTCCTTCTTTTGCCCGGCGAAGTGCAGCAACTCGAAGTGGTATGGACTCCATAAGTCCGTTGGAAGTCCCTGCGGAATATTGAGCCATGATGCCTCTATAACGTCCATAATTGGTGAAATTTTGAAGGTGCAGGTTTTGGACACGAACTGACCTCCTCGATGTGTCCCTTAAATTTCGAATGGGATTTCATGTCGGGGTCGGCGATCTAGTGGCCAGATCATTCGCTGGAATTGTCCAGAATGTCTTCTAACCAATCGCGAACAATTGTGGCCCGGTGAACATGACGCCCTTGTCCACCATAAAAATGCCATCGTTGTTTGAGTACGTGAAGTCCCTGAAGGCTGTAAGTGATCTCTTAGCTGAAGTAATCCATTTAGCATCAATGATCGGGTTCAGTTGCCGGCAGAGGATCGGTCCATGCATGTAAAAACAGCCAGACCATTATGAAACCAAACCACCACTTGAACAGTGCCTCGTGGCGTCCTGCGCCACATCACTCGAACCCTACCATCAGCTCTTATACCACTGAAATCGGGACTCAATCTGACCAAGCCACGGTTTCCCATTCGTTAGGGACCAACCGATATCCTCACGAGCCCACGAGATGTTGCTGCAGGAGAATGTCGTGCTGTTAGTAAAGGCCCTCGAGTCGGTCTTCTGCTGGCCACAGCCCAAGGAAGACCAAATTTTTTCGTTCGTTCGCACCAACTGTCCTAATCGGACACGTCCCTCTTAACGTCCCCCATTGATTTCTGCGTTATTTGGCGCAGTGTTGCTTATCTGTGAACATTGACAACTCTATGCAGACTTCGCTGGTCTCGGTCGTTAAGTGGCAGGTGGTCGGCCACTGCGTGTGTCCATGTCGGAGTTATGCCTCATTGAATTAGATACTCCGCACACTCTTGACACTGTGGAATCTCGGCATGTCGAATTCCCTAACGATATCCGAAATGGAATGACCCATTCTTCTAGCTCAAACTACCATTTTTCCGCGTTCAAAGTCTGTTAATTCTTGTCGTGCGGCCAAATCACGTCAAGCCGCTTTCACTGAATAACTGAACCACAAATGAAGCCTGCCAAGCAATTCTCGCATTTATACATTTTCTACGCGATATTACTGCCATCTGTGTATTTGCATATTGCTATCCCAGGACTTTTGTCACTTCAGTGTAATATGAGTTTAGCAACATATTAATGTAGATTATCTTAAGTAATTCTGAATGAACAAAACTTCATTTAGCGTCTATGTTGTACCGCTGGAAATAATAATTGAAGATATCTACTAAAGTTTTGTGGCTTTAAAATTCGGCACACGTCGGGCATTTAAACATGAGTCGAAGCACTGGGCAAAAATTTTATTTCTCCGTTTTTGAAAACCATTTCAATTTATTTTGTCGTTAAGTTTTAGTTGTATTAATACAGTTAAAATAGCAGACCTAAGGTTGCTTTATAGTATATAAGTAATGCCAAAAAACTAGATAAAATGGTATCTAAATAATTTCTTCAGGTAAAGATGATATGATCATCTCTGTAGACCATATTTGTGCCATTTATTAATTAGCTGTATTGGATTGAATTCGGAAATTTTTGCTTTCCACTCTACACTAGGCTTGCTCTTTTACTTGGTTAGTTGATCAGATAACATTTGTTAATGCGCGTAACGCTTTCATTTAATATACGTAGCGTTTTTTTATTTTTATTTTGCTCTTTCTTCCATCTTTTCTTTTATACTTTTCTCTGAAGTTAATTGTTTTCTTGAAATGGCTCAATTTATTAAAATTTAAACAGACACTCACCTCGACAGCTGGTGCAGGTGTATTCATAGATATGGACCTGAAAACATCGTCCTCTTGTGCATCCTGTAAAAGAATTCAAACGTAAGAATTTGTGAAAAATGTATGTTACATCCATTCGGCAATATGAAATGTAATGTATTCTATATTAGCAAAGTCCAGTATAACAATGAGGGAATCAAAACGTGTCAACGTGTCCTGCTTAAAGTCTTACTAAATATAACGATATGTTATCCAAGACCTTTACTAGTCTGTTACAAAGGCTATGGTGGTCCGTATTTTAGACCAAGTAACATTTTACGCAGGGAGCTATGAACAGAACCCTGAGTTAATATTAGACAGGCTTCTCATCGACGTTGAGCGTCGGATGGAGATTGTTTAACTACATCTTTAATGACGAGAAGGCAAAAGTATAATCTTTAGATCTGTTCCGTCAAATAACGCTGAAGTTAAGAGCTAAGTGGTGATCTTATCTCAGGTTCTAAGTATTTCAAATATGTGTGTGGTTTAGTTGATAAAATGCGTAATTGGCAAACAGATTGATACGAAAGGCGAATTTTAGGACAGAGTGAGTGCCTCTATATACGCTTAGGTTTTGACAAGTGAAAAGGTTGAAAAACTTCATTTCGAATCACGTAATTAGATTTATGCTGAATTGGATGTTAAATATCACTTTGTCTAATACTGATGCATGCAGCGAACAACAAATCCAAAATAGTGACTGTGTTACAAAATTTGAAAGATTTTCTTTTACAGTAATTTAACTAACTGAGAAGTGTTTTTTAAATGCTGGGACATAAGAATTCAATGTATCACAAAAGTGTATGTTAATATTATAAAACAATTTTAAGTTTTGGAGTTTATGACGATAGAGTAAAAGTTATTAGGACAGTAGAGATTTGAGGAATGTAAATTGTAATGCAGATTCCGCATTTAGTAATATTAAATAAATGAGTTTCCAATTGTACTATTCCACTGTATTATAAAGAAGTCGCCCTGGTCTGTGTAATGGTTGGCGACATTAACTATCTTACCGAAGGGCCCGTATTCTAACCTCCGGAGAAGGTATAGATGTTTGTAAGAGGATATAGCTTCTCTGTAGCATAATGGCACTCAAAACATAGGCGAGCCAAAAGTACTCTCGAGTGTTTTGATGGTAGGGAAAGAGGAGTGGTGAATCCTTGGACTATCTATCGGGATGTTCTCCATCAAAACTTGGAAGGAGCTGCACAGTTAGTGCTATTGGGCTACATCTACATAACCAGTGATGAAATTCTGGTGTTCCGCCCCCTTGAATCTATACCTATATTGTACAGGAAAAATACGTTATTTCCCCTACGATTTCAGGGATATTTAAGAAAGCAAGGCAACTTAAACTAGATGTTTTATAAGTTTAAATTCATTTTTCTCAAGAAAATGAGATATCTGCGCCGCGGCGAATTAATATCCGATAATAAAAATGTATTTGCTATATTAAGAAACATACTACGTCTATTATAAACGTTGAATTTAATGAGTAAGACGCTGACGGCATCGATATTTTATTCAGTAGAATCTTTCGGAACGTTAGATCCTTAATTCGAGCTCAGATTATAACAGACAATTCGCTTACTTCCCTTTTCCTTTTTTTGATAGCAGGAAATCTCGTAATTTCTTTAAAATTTATATAATGTATTTCTGAAATCGTCTCAAATCAACTATTAACGAAATTTTTGTGAAGCTAATTTTCAATTTATATCTCTTGTTACGATTTATACTCACATTTATGTAATCATCTCTACCAGGGAATAATATCATTACTAGTGTGTTTTAACTGACAATAGGAGTGCTACAAAACGTTTTGTTACAAATTATAAAATTTACGACTCTCAGAAAAATGTTTTAAACATTCGATGCTTATCATTATTGGCGTTTTGATCATATAGTTCATATACAGAGTGTTCTACATGAGTTTTCTTCATATTTATTCAATACTACATGAGTTACTATATGAGTTTTCTTCATATTTATTCAATACTACATGAGTTACTATATGAGTTTTCTTCATATTTATTCAAAGGAAATTCCAGTGAGACTTCTTTATAATTTTGTATATATTTAAAAAATCATATAGAAGTAACGCGTTTCAGAATATGGAAAAAATCACTAAAAGGTGGGCAAAATTCTTTTCTTCGTTATTCATAGGTTACTAAACATCACTTTTCCCCCTCGTTATTCTTTCTTTTTTCAGCTAAATTTTTCAATCATCAGTTTTATCCCTTATTCCTTTGTTCTTCAAATTGGGCTTCGATTTTAAAACTTTCCATTTTAAAGACGTTTTTGACTTTTTAAGGTCTTGTACCTATCGTAATATTTGTAATGGACACATAAAACGTCTAACACTGAGACAGTCCACAATATGCCATAAGCTTTAGCAACGCATTTTTCAAAGAAGATGATAAATTGTATCTATATATTATTGCAAAAGAAACTATTCCCTTACCCGGATTTGAAGTTGAGGGAAGGGGCTTTGGAGTACTGAGCAGATTTTGAAGCACTGAGATGATGATAACTAAAACACAAAGCAAATTAGGCTAGATGCCTTTAATTTATACTGTGGATTGTTATTGAAGAAAAGCTTCTAGTTAAATATTAATTTTTCAGTTAAAACAGAGAAATAAATTACTGAGAGAATTTATTTCAATGCTGTGCTAGCTTCAGATTCAAAACTTATGATTTTTTTTTGTTTATTGATGTTTGTTGAATACGTTGAATTCTCTTTTCACTCTGTAACTGGCTTAAAACGAATTTCTACATTATTAGGTTTTAGTATTTCCCTTGTAATTTATTCACTATTATGACCAACCTTTGGTTGGTCACAATAGTGAATAACAATAGTGAATTTGGTGGACATTAAACGACTTATGGTTAAGTTTGAAAGTAAGAATAGAAACTTGCGAAGAGTGTAAAAGACCCTTTTTTGAACTCAAAAAGATGATTGGAGGCATTCCTGGTGTTTACGCGCCTACCAGTACTTATGGCGAGAAACTCTTAAGTGATAATTCAAATGTTAGAGCTAAACTTAAATAACTAATAGCCGAAGGCCCGGACTTCATCGGCCTGGTCTTCATCGGGGAATTCTTCTTTGACCCGGACTTCGTTGGCGTAAATTTAACTATCCGCAATCTATTGCAAGGCCGAAGACAAAAACTCTTATCTGAAAGCAGCAAACCTAGTAATGTGGCTTTCAAGAGGCAAAACACGCTCTGCCTTAACAATCTCAAATCCTCAGTAAAATACACGGGATCGCATTTGCATTCTGGCGGAAAATGGAAAGAGAGAAGTAACAGTGAAACTTCGAAACGTAAAATAACTGGTTATTCAAATTAAAAAAAAACCTCACAACTTTATGCTTACCTCCACAATATCCATAAGAGTTTGCAGTTGCGTTAGTCGACTCTCTTCGCTATCTGTGTTTAGAGTATTTGGGTCTATACCATTCAGGTTCTATAAACGAAATAAATGAAAGAAATGAAATATATTAAATAACACAAAGAAATAATGATTTAAAATATTCGGTAATAACGACGAAGTATATTAAAATATTTTTCTAATTAGATGACTTATAACTAGTAACGTCTGAAACAAACACTTTTTTAAAAAATATTTGAGAATTCTTGCTAATCCTGAAAGAAAACTCTATAAAAATCTTGATTGATCATGCAACTTTTAATGACTTATTATACCCGTATTTAGCGCTGATATCATCTCAAATTTTTCACTGCATTCTGAAAGAAAAACAATTTCTTTTTTCAGAAGCATTATTTTTGAAGATTACTGGTTATTCCTCCTTAAAGTTACAATGGTCCTAGTGCAATTTGTCTGCAGAATTTCTAGATCTCTTGTCTTCGCAATATTATCTAAACTCTATAACTTTTAACTGTCTTCATTTTTGTGCTGTTTCAGGAAATTAATGCATCCTGGCATAGGATACTTAATTATAATAAGCTTCTAAATAAGTATAAGTTAGATCATAACTGTGAATAATGACTGACGAAAGGAATTTAAGTCTGCCATTAAAAACATTTTCTATAATTACAAATGAAATTATTTTCTTAAATATGGTACATGATGCTCATACATTCTGTGTTTATGTTACTGAATATTTATACAAAAATAAACATTTGTTCCGATAGTTTAAAATTCAATATAGAAATCAATACTCCGAATGTCCAAAATATTTAAATATCTCCGAAATCAATAATTACGCACACTATAATTCCAAAAGCATTAATAATTGCACGATTTCAATTGTCTGAGAAAGGCACATATGGCGGCAATGAACAGAACAGAATATTTTATGTAAACAGCATTATTTTATCGATTTTATGCAAACGAAAGATTGTTAGGAAACGCTGAAATCCTTACCGCCCATTCTTGGAGGAACTGCTTTCCAAGATCTTCACCTTCATTTTCTCCTAAAGTTTTGTTGTAATCTCTGGCAACCTGAAAAACAAGCCAATCACTCAATATAAATTTAAAGGCTAAATATTACTATTTAATATATGCAATTCCTCTTTCTTTTTACAGTATATGTATTATTTTGTATGCAATGCAAGGACATACAATAAGACTGCAAAGTATTTGTACGACTTAGCTTAAACTGACAACTAAAACCGAACGGATGTTCTTCTTTTCTGGAAATGCTTTGTGTGAGTTTGGTAATTTCAGTAAAATAGATTACTAAATACTACTATACTATATTTCCTTTTCATGTTCATATCATTTTTACTTCCTTGTACGAAGTAAAAAGGAAGTATGGTAATAGCGAAAAGTTTCAGGCAGCATATTTCAACGGAAATATCCATTTTGTCCGCTATCGAATGCAATGTAACGACGTTTTTGCGTGAATGTGTATGAAAGGACAGAATAAAAGACTCGGCCCTCCAAAAAAATTATAAACTGCTTTCAAATGAGTTCAAAAGAGTTTTCGTGGCTTCCTGGTACGTCGTATTACGTATCTCGTCTACTCAAAAGAGTAACTCAGACTTTTGAAATTTTGTATATAGGACTGCTATACATGTAGATTACGCCTCGTATTTTGGTTGCAATGGCACACCAAACGTTATATCCACTCTGTACCCGCTCAGTGATCTCATTTCTTTACTCTTATATGTTTGTAAATTGTGCCTTTTTTTTGTTAAAATGATGAATTATGTGTTCTTATCTCGGTAACGTTTTATCCTTTAGTAAATCTCAAGCAATATTTATACATTATCAAAATTTAACGCTAATCAGAAGTCGAACAACAAAAATCAGCGATATTTCAAATTTTTACAGTCATCATTTCAAGCAACTTAAACATTCGCTTATTCCATCTTTGCGAATTGTGTCAGATTATAGCTCTTCCCAAATTCATAAAAGTGGATTCCTATGCGCCCTATTATACACTGATACATAAGTATTTGCACACTATGCAAATGACGATATCTGCGCCTAAGGACGTCACGAATCCCCGTATATATCGTGTAGGAACCAGCGTCGGCTTTAGTGCATCAAATGCCTCGCATTCGGAGCTCTCTGAGTCGAGAAGTATAATTAATCGGTATCCAAATGTGGCCGATCTTAATGAACTATATAGCGATCTGAAGTACCAAATCGACATGGACTATTGATAAGTGGAAGGTGAGCGGTGATTGTCGAAATGTGCCTCTGATCGGCAGACCACGAAATGGGAGATTAGACCGACGATGCTGTCCGAGAATTCGGAAGAACCGCACCCAACGATGCCTCATCCGGAGGAGTTTCAATAGCACCGGAGTATTTTCAATGAATACATCCGAAAGAAGCACATCCGCTTGGTTTCATGGTCGTGCTGCTGCCCTAAGCTTTGATCACAAAGTCCAACCGCGCTGCTCGGTAATGTGTGCAAAGCACATCGAATTGGACCGTAGATAAGTGGAAACGGGTTCCTTGGAGTGACGAATCAGTTCACCCTTACCGTTCGGATGGCAGGGTCTGGTCTGGCGTCTACCTCGAGAACGTCTCCTACCATAATGCATTGTGCCAACAGTCAAGTTCAGCAGAGGGAATTCTGTCTGGGGTGTTTCTACTGGTTGGGCTGGGACCCTTGGTCCCCATTCATGGTAAGCTCACTCCGATGCTACTGCACTATTTGGATAACAACGTGCTCCTCCTACATTGTGGCAGTTTACGGGTTGGACCCCTGTTATTTCAGTTGTCAGTTTCGACGTTAACCAAGGCTTCGATGGTGCCAATAGAGTTCATCGAAGGGACTGGCTGCCCAATTCCGACCTGAACCCTATCGAGAACCTGGGAGAGTGCATCGCGATTCAGTGCACTACCCGTGCAAAATCGTGAATGAATTCTATGTTTCTCCAAGCCGAGTGAAGAAAATACCACGAGCTGTCATACAAAGACTTGTGAAAAATATGTCCGTAGGGTCCACGCTGTATTACCTCTCGTGCTGCTCTTACCAACTATGATTTTGAATAATTAGTTTTTCTTTTACACAGGTGTCCAAATACTTATTGATCAGTGATCAATTAGGTATTGCCTCTTCCTTAAAAGCTGAATTTGAAAATATAACTCTGATTTTTGTTGTTTGACTTCTGAATTAGTATTTGTCGCATGTTATGTGTCTTATTTAAAAGCGTTTAAGTGAGGTTAAGCCTAATCTAAATAAATGCGGACATATTGTTTATATTTGAAACAGCAGAATAGTAGATTTGTTGCCAATCTAGAGACTAAACTTCGCAACAACAAGATACCGCCTCATTATTATTTAAATCATGCTTATCTTTCTGGAATTTTTTCGAGGAAATAGCGTTAAGATTTACCTCGTAATTTTAAATACGATATTTTGAGTATATATTTTTGCCTTATCGCGAGGAAATGAATTAATGAATGAGAAATACTGAATCGTCTGTGAAAACTTTTTTTTTGTTTGTTTGCTTATTTATTTATCATCGTTCTAGATTTATTAGTATTTGAATAGAACATGTGACACGATAACAATTCTTCAAATGATATAAATTTTTGATTTGTGTTCAAATAACTAATATAACGCTGTTAAGTGAACCTAGCGCCAGAGGTCCTATGGTAACAATATAGTGAATTTAAGAGTGTATTTTTCATGTGGTTATGTGCTATCGACGAAATATATTTAATTCAATCTAATAAGTTTAAATGAAATGCAAGAAAAATTGCGTATAATTTAATATTCCGTACAAGGAAGTCATGCAATCTATACATTAGGTTTTTATTTTAACGCATGCATCTGACAAAGTATTTTGTAATTGTTATGAATAAAGTTATCTTTATTGCATTACATCATGATACTATGCGAGTTCTTCAGCAGGTTTCATGTCTTATAATTTTAACTTATCAAACGAAAAAAAATTAAGCAGACTAATGGAAAACCGGATATGGAATTTAACGTTTTTTTAATCTGAGTAATTTTACAGATTTTTAATCTTTAACTTCTTTCCTTCTTCCATTCCCACAAGTTAAAAATGAAGGAAGACCCATTTATGGAAATTTTTTGGTTTTAATTCGGTATTGTGAGAGAAAAAGAGGGAAAACTCGCCAGTGACTGTGTTGCTACTTCATTTTTCTTCGCCAAATCTTAGTGTTGAACAGCACTTCCTGTTATCACTTGACAAGGAAAGGATCTTTCTGAATGCTTTATCTCGAATATATATGGCATCACAAAGAGTTAGTACCTTTAGGGAATTTTTAAATTTGTATACTATATTTTTTTGTTAATTAATTTAACAACAACAAAAAAAAAATAGTATATATTTCATTTTGAAGAATCTTTTAGATGTAAAATTGTCAATCATTAAAGAGCAAGGCAGATAGTTACGAATGTGACAAGAAAACTATATATTTTACGAAAAACAGTCTCTATTCTCTGGAAATAATTAAAAAACTTCAGAAAATCTAAGACAAAGCGAAACCAGAAGTCGTAGAAAAGAAACAGTTTTGAAGACTGCTGTCATTAAACTGCTTTTAGAAATAGAAACGTAATTGGTAAGCACTTGAATTTAGAACTTATTGATGTCACTGTCTTTTGCATCTCGGAAAACTCTATACAGAAGTCTTTATGAGAAAGGTATTTATGCTAGAAAGCTAGTGATTTATATTCGTTGAGCTTATAATAAAAGAATTCTTACAGAAATGGATACTTCAGAGCAAGAGCCTATAGCGAATAGCCTGTGTGACGAATTGAGGCTTCATGTAGGAAGAGTTTCCTGGTTGCATTTAGTATGTAATTCCATACACGTTTACATATGCAGGGAAACGGAAACACAAAATATTTTCTTCAGTATTGGGGAATAATACTGTTACGATTATTGAGATGCTGTGATATGAGAAAGAATAACAATGGGCGTAATTCCCTTTCCTTGACAGAAAATGTGTGTCTTGTGCGTAATGCCTTTTAGAGGTGCATGTAGATTTCGCTTTCACGTTATGGATGATAATGTCTGTCCATATTAATAAAACCTGGCTAATCACCTGATTTGAATCACTTAGGGAATTTCTGGGGTATCTTGAAGGAATTGCTGCATATCGAAATTCTTTATCCTGATTTGAGCCACTTAGAGAATTTCTGGGACATCTTAAAGGAATCGTTGCACATCAAAATTCTTGATCTTGATTTGAATGACTTCGAGAATTTCTAGGGCATCTTGAAGTAATGGTTGCGTACCGAAGTTCTTGATTCTGATTTGAATCATTTAGAGAATTTCTGGAGTATCTTGAAGGAATTGTTTATCGAATGTTCGTAGCGATAATGTCTTGGAGACCATATTGGGTAGAAATAGAACTTACTACTCCAAACTCTAATTAATAACCTTACTGAAAATAGGGAATCAGGCTGTAACATTTGTGCACGAATCAGGGGAGATTATATCCCTATTAATGTCAAAACTTTCTGTTAGTGTTCAGTTTTGTTTTATATAAGACGGGGATTTCAATATGTTTTAATTAGAAAAACGAGTATTAGATGTTTAACACGAATTGCGTTTTGAACATATATGATAGCAATAATGAATATGACAAAGTGGAATTTAATTCTTCAAACGTTTAAACTGTTTACAATCCTTGGAAATAAGACATAAATAATTCGCTGATTTACTAGAATCTTTTTTGATAGCCAATTGTTATTTTGAAAATTTCATAAAGCTTCTTTGAAATTATTTTAACTCTTTGCTTAGTAGATAAAACAAAATTATCAGTTTCAATATCTCTTTTAGCTATTCATTGATAAAAATTTGATTATCCTGCCTTTTAGTTTGCTTTGTTTATGCTCCTGTAGATCTAATTTCTTTGCAGACCTTTGTGCTAGATGGTAAAAGCACAAAACAAAAGGGCAACGATTTTTCAAGAATTTCTTTCGTTCAGTAAGATATAGGCTTTTAAAATTGATTTCAATTTTAATTCTAACTGTGATGAAGAATCATAAGCAGTTTGGTAAGTACTCCAAAATGAGCATATCCTGTAGTTCCAGCTACAACAAGTTAACAGAGTAGAAAATCGATTTAAGGAAATTTTTCGCACATGAGTATTAAAAAAAACTTTGTTAGTTATTCCAACAAAGGAAGCCTTCATTTTTTAAATTTCTAAAGCCTTTTGAAAAGTTTTTTGTATCACCATGAGCAAAAATTTTCCAAAACTGTATTTGTATAATGAAATATGTTTCTAATAAATTAAATTTATTTTGTTATTGTGTATGTATTTAAAATTTTGCATAACCAATTGCATAAAATTTGAAATTATAGCAAATGTTTAAAAATACTTCTGGTTAAATGACGTGATAATATCTAAAACTTGAAATGGGTTCTCATGGAGTTCTGCTCACTTAAAATATTGAGTAGTAAAAGTAACATAAGTGTTTTTATAAATTACCTCTTGCAATGAACATTTTCATACTTTCTTGGAATGTGGATATTTAACCATTATGAAATTTATACAAATTCAGTTTATCTTTCCTTACTACTAGTAGTAAAAGACATGAATTAAGTATAAATAGTTTTAGCAATTCAAGTTTTTACATGTATATGAAGATTGAAAATATGCTATGATTTTTAGACTTGATAACTTTGAAAGTGGGATGAATTTGGAAGTCATGTAATAATTTTAAAGCTGTTCATTACAATTATAAAAGCTGTAATTTAGACGAAATATACTGAAAGGAAAATTTCATTGTTGTATATATACTAAAATAACTTTAAAGGCATAAAAGATGATTCTACCTTTACGTCATGTTTCCAGAATCTTGAAACTGCTGCGTCTGTCGTATTCGGAGCTACTTCTTTCACCTACGCAAGTAAAAACGCATTAATTTCATTCTCACTTATTAAGGAGACATTCTGAATTAAAGGAAAAAGGAGTAATAAAAGAATCAATTGAAAAGTCTTTCAGAGTAGGAAAAGAAAAGTGAAATCAAAATACACAATTTTATTTTAAAATCAGAACAGAAATGATTGAACTTAATTTCAATTTTAATTGTTTTTTACATATTTAGTCTTGCGAAGCCTTATCAAATAGTAACAAATTAAATCGATGAAAAGTCACGTATCTAACTATTTTGTTGATCAAAAGTACAAAAAATTACATGTTAAAATGTCTCCTCGAATAACAGAAACACCATTTAAACTTCATGGCCTGAAAGAAAAGTTTTAAGACTGATTATTTTATTTAGAATCAGATGACTCTACGCAAACTACATGTTTTTTGTTTTTTAAATTTTAGTCCTTTACACTGAATTACTATTTTAACATAATTTTGTAAACTATACAAAAACATAAAGTAGGCTGTTCTGTAACATTTTTTTTAACAATGAGGACAGGGCGTTTTTTATTTTCTCATATGAAGAGCATATCTTTCCACATGATTATCTTTTCAATGTTAAAAATCACATGCCACTTAGTATAGTCTATATACAGGGTATTTAAATACTGTGTTGACCGTTTCAATATCAAGAACACTTAGGAATCACATATCACCTAGTCTAGTCTATATGTAAGATGTTGACCGATTGTTTTCAGACAGATCTGCCAAATCCAAAGCAGAAACGTGCATTCAGGTAGTGTCCCGGAGCAAAATTCTGGAGAAAATCCCATCCCTTTTTTTTAAACCCTATGCCACCAAGTAAAATATTTACATAACAGTTAATTGTTCATTATATGTCTATTCGTGTGCAATGCTGATATCCGTAACCGCAGTGAATAAGCTTCCAGAACTTGCTTTGCAGATCATTCGCGTGCTATTGCATTGAAGTGCCTCCATTACCGAAATATTGAAGCAAGGATAAATGCTACATCGTATGTACTGTAAATACATATCAATTATTCCTTTATAACCATTCAAATTTAACAAAAATTCAATCGCATCTCTGCCATAGAGATGATTTTCTCACCCACCACGAAAAAACAGAACCTTATTACTGCATATAATCATATTACCATATTACTGCATATAGGTCATAGAGTCATACCATATTACTGCATTTAGTCATATCATATTACTGCATATAATGATACCATATTAATGAAAATAGTCATAGTCAACCATATTACTGCATGTCATTACCAGAATCACTCCAGTCTACTTTAGGGTGATGCGAGGTGAGTCTTGAAGCCTCTTGCACGTGTGTGATTCTTCCTAGAAATAGAGCATGATTTGAAACATTTGGGCTCCTAAGTGTATTAGTTTCCATGAAGCCGCAATTTATTTTCCCATCTGAGATACGGGCAACTTTTTGAGCCGTCCGGTTGGCAGTTGTTTTTGATGTTTTACGCCACGTAAATAAATGTTGATCTTTAGTGCTAATTTCTACATGCTAATCTGCAAAAATTAATGCACTTGAAGTATTAGAAAACACATGCTAACCTTAAGAATGATGAGAGCAGCGATGATAATGCAAATGATATTGACTACAGTCAGTAAAAAGCTGATGATTCCCAGTACTGCGCATTCTCTATCCATGAGGGGGTAGTAAGTAGGAGTATATGTATCAGGCGGCAGAAGGGCCGGTTTCACCGTATGATTATAAATATCATAAACCTGTAATAGAAAAAGAAATGAATTATTAGTTTCTCCTGGTATTTTATTTCATAATTATTGTGAAAGTGGTTAACTTAAAGCATTACTAAGAGAGGTCTTTCAATCAGTACATAACAAGCTTAAAAGTTCACTTAGTGTATGTACGTTATATAACAATACATACGTATTGTTACGTATGTATTGTTACGCATGTATTTATGTAACAATACATATGTATTGTTACGTTCTATGGGTTCGTGGGTTTGGAGTGATTGATGACAACACTTGATGAAGAATCAAAACACAATTTGTTCGTCAGTATTACACAGGATGGTTCCAAAGACGCGTTACAGTCGTCGAAAAACTACGATAAACACGCTGAAGCAATCAGCAACACAGTCTTCAGGCTATGTTGGTAAAGGCAACTTCTCGCCAAAGCACTAAAGTACAGCTCCCGATTCGATCGATCGCTTTCAAAGCTAATCTCTGAACTGAAAGCACTATTACTGAACTCAACACGCTCAAGATACTCTACAGGTTAAACTTCTACTTCATATACGGGCAGGGTCTGTTAACTGTTAACCTGCCTTCGAAAACGTCACCAAATGTGTGATTTCACACCAGATCCGGCAACCTGTCTTTCGTTGTAATTTTTTGGAAACCTCTAAACCCGCTTTGCGGAGAAGCTATCTTACCTCGACTGGGCATTTCGTAACAGTATGCTAAAACTCGACCCACAAATGAAGTTCATTCGAAACAGGACGAAAATGATTAATGAGAACTGGCATAATGCAAGAAAATAACCAGTTTTAATTACATTGTACCAATTCCCGGTACAAATATTAAATCACTTCCGAATGAAAGATAAACAAGCTCTTGTCTAGCTTAGTGTATGAAATAATAGTTTGATACTGTTTATAAGAAGGAAGACTGTATAGCAGGATAACAATACGGTAACACTGAAGGTATCCAGAACCATGTTTCTCTCTTGTTATCATAACACTAGATATTTTAAATTAATGCTTCACAGATTTTTTATTTCAAAAGCCATACATTGGCCAACACACCATTTGTCTTTTAGTTTTCTGATACTTAGGCAGCATTAAACTTTTCAATTGGCGTTAGAAAAATAAATCGTAAGTTTTCCTTTTAATATTTTTAAGAGAATTCCTTACCAATGTTTAATTTTAACTTGTTTTAGAATATTTTATTAGCAATAATTTAATCTTGTATTTTAATGTAATACGCGGCAATGTGTGAAAAGCAGGAATTGCGTTAGAATGTCTAGGAAATCTAGAGAATGGTGGGCATTTTCAGCGAAAGCATGAACTGCCTATGTTATTTAATATGTAATTTTTAATATAATTTCTCGTAGGCATTGTATATCATAGATAAATACTATTTATTAAATATATAAGAAGTTATCTATTGCGTAGTACTATTTAGATAATACACGAGAGTCATAAAAAGATCGTTACTAAAACATGGGTATGAAAGTGGTAGAGTAAAATGCTGAATAAAATACAGTACACTTTTCCAGGGAACAGTAGTAACAAAAATGTGATATGAACCTAACTGTTACAATTAGGAAAACTATAATGACATTTTGAATTGCATTTAGTAAACGTTTTCGCACAAGAACATTTTATTATTTAACACTTGACCTTGAATATGACCTCAAGAAACTTTGATAACGGTATTAATAACACCAATTGCAGGAATACGCTTCTCGTTTGCTTTTTGATACGGTAAGAAAGGACTTATATGTATTAGCAGTATTAACCATAAAAATTCAGTATTTAATTACATTACAGCTTTCGAATATCCCCTATTTCTGTAAAAGAAACTAATTTTCCTACTAAGAAAGTTACAGAATGAGTTTTATGGGGGTCAGTGTCTTTTGAAAAGATGGATAAGGATGCTAAAAGTAATATAAAAGATTGAAGAGTTTATAATAAACTCTAATAATGTAGAAACAGAAAGCATGTTGGGAAAACAAGACGAAGAAGAATCTAGTAATTACTTACTCATATTTCATCTTGGGTACGCATTTATAAACAAAAATAAAAATAATAAATATCAGTATTACATCTGTTAAAGCATCAAAACTGTGCAAGAAGTAAAAGATTTACAGAAAGAGTTAAAACAAGAAGAAATGGAATTTCAGGCTATTTTTTTTTAACTTCTTAAAATGATAGTATAAATATTTATTAAAATATCCATGAAAGAACAAAAACATTATGCTTACCACATATGTACTTTGGTATAAGCTTCTGACTGTTTTTATGGCACCTAATCCCCATAGTAAACCCTAAAAACAAAAATAAATCCATGAATTCTGTAAGGTGTATTACCTTTACTTGACAAAATATCAACGAAATGTTCTAGAGGAAAAATACGCACTTCCTTCTATCTTCCAAGAAACAAATGATGCAGAAAATAAATATTTAAATCGCGGGAAAACTAAACCAAGATAATCTCAGGATATAAAAATTCATAACCTGCAATCAATTTTATGTTCTGAAATTGCCAATCGATAATTGATATTAATCTGTCACAGAACTTTTAAGTGTACAAAGCTTTGCTGATATAAAGAAGCGACGAAACTCGGTGAGATTAAAAAATATAATACTTACACAGTTTACAGTAGGCGGCAACAAGGATGCAGAAATAGCCACGCCTACAAGAGAAGCTCCATTTCCACCTAAGACTGACATTGCTACACCTGCGCCTGATGGCAATGCAATTAAACAACCAGACCACAAACTCCGGACCATTCCCCTAGAATATGCAAAATATATTTTTGGTGCTCTATTTTGTTAAAAGACTGCTACTTCAGTTTGCATTAAAGCATTTCAAATGATAGTCAAAGTATTTAATGTCTTTTTTATACCAAAATATATGATGGTCTCCAGAAGTTAAGCACAATCTTTACATTTGTAAATGTTTCACGAACCAGTTCGAATTGGCAAGTTATGTAATGAAGCAATGCTGGTATAGAAATAGGACGCAAAGATAAATATTCGGGAAAGAAAGATGTCGAAATACAGTTTGCGTTTTTCACTCAAAAATATTAATACGAATGAGTTTAATAAGTTTTAATAATGACTTAGTTATGAAACTCTCAGATCGATTTTTCATGCCTTCTGTTAGGGGTACTATCGTATTATCGCAACCACCTTAGAAGTCGCCAAATTCTGGTAATCATGCTGATAGCAGTTGTTGAAGTTACTAATTTCGTTTGTCTGATAATGGTCAGCATAAGCCCACGACATTCATAATGGTAAGGAGTCAGATGCCCCTGTCGTTGGCAAGAGTCTTGAGCACCATATAAGAAAACAGCTCGATTTTAGCCCAGTTCCGTCCCTAATTTTGAGAGAGAGACTCCGGGATCAGCAGCCTCTCGAGAGGAATTTCGGCACCCTGCATATTTAGAATGCCCTTATGCTGCCCAGACATTATGCATTTAAAAACACCTATGTCATTTCCGGGATTCAAACCCGAGCCCTTCGGTGCGGTAGTCAGAATCACTAACCGTTATCCCGGTTGAGCGGTGTACATAACAATTCTTTTAGGTAACCAATATCCATTATAAGCTGCAATCCTAAAATTCACTGAATTACCATTTCCTTCTGTAAAGAATCGCCAAACTGCACCTAGGTTGGTTGCGCTACTACGTAAGTATCTTGTTAGATTACCCATAAACTTATGTAGGCTAAATGTTCTGCTTCTAAAAAGTACAATATTTTTTATGTACCGGAATGGTCTTCAGTAGACGTAAAGAGTTGAAATATACCTTTCTAATCAGAATTTTTCTTCCACACATGTTCAACTGAATTCATGTTTGCTTGATAACCAATGCATTTGCTAAATATTTTCACATTGAAGAAAAATCATCGACCAGTTGATAATGACAAGAGCAAGATTTAGCCTTTGTAAATAAAAGTTAAAATCTCATGTCACCTAGAAAAAAGTAGAAAGCGAGATGCTCTAGTGATCTCTTTGCATCTAACTAACATTAGAGCTTTTGCGAAAAGTAGGAAACTTTACGTGTCTTTTCAACAATATGTCTCTCCATACTAATTAACCAGCAGTACAATGTAATTCTTTTTTACTATTGTTAGGACATATTATGCTCTTTACGTTCATGTAGTGAAGTGCTCAGAATCAATCTAATAACTTTATCTGGATCCAATAGTTAAAAAGGCTATTGTTTCGACAGTAATTTTAACGATTCTACGACCATTATATGCGTGAGAGCATGAACAGGGCGCTTTCAATTGAATTTATTTATAATTGTGTGTTTATTAGCTCAAAGGGGCGTTAGCAGAGAAGGTCTGTTAGTCTCGAAACGGCGTTTTGCGTACAATCACTATAAAGTGTTGCGTCACTTTTCAAATTGTTGGCGCCGAATATTATCGCCTTGTAATATATTTAAAGAAATTAAATAATGAAGAATCTGTATGAAGAATCTGTATGAATGCATATATGTTTCTCGAAAAAAAAAAAAAAAAAAAAAAACACCACGATACCTAGAGCTATCAATTTTTTTCCTCCACACGAACATGAGCACCTGGAAGCCCGAATCTTGAATTTCGAATTTGTTTTATTATCTATTTCATATTTTTTAAATTTAACGAAGTTTTGATTAAGAAACTCAACAATTTCAAAGCGAGCAGTGGCAACACACTGTGCGGAATAAAATTTCTTTATCTCCAGCGCACGAGACTGTCTGTCGGACATTCATTATGTTATTTTGAATATGCTATTCTTAATTATGCTATTTTAAAATATTTTTAGCGCGAAACGGGCGTTATACAAAATGCTCCCGAAACGTATATGTATGCGTAAATGAACAAAACTCCCCTTTGGGCCTAATATAAAATCTAAAAGTTTTCAGATTTTTCTTTAACTATTAATTTAATAAATTAACTCTAAAGAACGGAATAAATAAAATGGTTGATTACAGCAAGTATCATACTCCTTTTGCACTCTCGGAAATTTTTTATTAGTATTCGGAATAGAAAAGAAGAAAGATTCAGAAAGATCACATCAGAAATCATCACATAAAAAAAGGTTCACATTAGAAAAGTTTAGAAAACCATGCTGAGTCAATTGCAAGCATAGGTCGCTTAACTCTCTAAATAATATAACTTAGAATGAAATATTTTTATATAATAATTTCCAATGAGATACTCTTATGAAGAATTTCAGAAAATCACAAGCATACCTCCGAGAAAAGCCTTCATGGAATATGAAGATCCATGACCATAGTGAAATGGAGATTTAGTAGAAGTCAAAATGTTCGAAATGGAATATGTTTCGCGATGTCTTATAACTTAGTAAAAAGGTGCTTTTGAGACGCAGTCTGTTATTTTTTAAATAATTTAAAATACACGTGAATAAGTTTGATTTTAAAGTTTGATTTATTTATTTTCGAAAACAAAACTTATCTTAATATTATACAACTCCTAGAAATTATGTCAGTTTGGAACTGAAGAAAACATTTAAAGCGTTTTCTTATGAATTCTGTTAAGTGTTTAAGACTGTTTCAATTGTTCCTCCAGTTTCCTGCTGAAAAGTAATATTTTTAGGCTAAGATTTGCCGATAAAGGGGAAGTGGGTTTAACGATAATTGTAATCTCTGCATTGCATTCCGTGGAATAATTTAATTAAATAGATGAAATACGCATATATTAAATTATAGATAATGCCTATGAATATTTATTCTTGACAAACCTGCCAGCCATCTCAGGAGTTGGCCATTTTCCAGCTCCCCACGTCTCGCTGAAATTACCACAAATGAATCCAAACAAAAATCCTGCAAGAGAGTAAAAAGGAGAGCTTGTATTCAATGATTAACCTTTTGATTTTGCAATATTTTGTAAATCATTGTACAAAACTATCGGTTGTTACCTTTAGACATAGGTAAAGAAAGTAATGTTTTTGGCCCAAAAATTCGATAGTAAATAAACACGAGTTAGGGTCGCCATAACATGTTTTAACAATTTTTACTATGATAGCTATATGTTTGTATGTCTATTTGTGTGTGTGTTTCTGAATGACAATTTTTTTTCGTCAACCATAACTATTATGAGAAACCCAAAATTTCCATTTTCTGGATTTCAGCTTTCTGCATTCACATAAAGAGTTGATTAAATTTTGGGTAAAACTGGACAACCGGAAGATGTACCTTACATGCAGCCCATAACAGTTTTTAATGGACAGTCTGCAGAAGAATTTTATGTAAAGTACATAACAGTTTTTAATAAAAAAACTATATTAAAATATAATCTAAAACTTTCCAATTTCAATATTTAAAATTTTTATATCGATTTGAACAACATATTAAACTTTGGCTTAAACACATACACCGGAAGTGATATTTTACTTGAAGCTCTGAACAGATGAAGAGATTTTTTTTTTGAAAAAATGTATTATGGGATAATTCCAAACTTCCCAAATGTGGTAATTAAAATATGTGTGTGATTTAGAGCAAAATATTACACTGCTGGCCACCGTAAATGCAACACCCTGAAGGAAGTATGCAAATAACATGAAATTTACAACATGCATTAGCGGAGGTGAAATATGCAATGATTAGAATTTCAGCGCAGACGCACATCACGCACGCCTGTGGTGCCACTTTAAAGAGCTATTTAAGGCTTGGAGTTTTTCGACGATTTCAAGTTCGTCAATTGTGTTTTTTTTGTGGTTTTTTTTTAAAAAAAGACGATCAATTATACCTTGTAGTAAACAGCGATCATCGTTTGATCAAGTATCCGAGTTTGACAGAGGAAGGATAGCGGCCTACCAAGAGTGTGCATTATCTTTCAGGGAAATAGGTAGTCGTGTTGGACGAAACCACACAACTGTAATGCGGATATGTGACCGTTGGATGCAGGAGGGTACGACGAACCGACGTGTTCGATCGCATCCACTTCAGTGCACCACTTCACGTGATGACAGGAACATTGTGCGCATGGCAGTGACAGATCGCCCAGTCACATCACGAACCATAGCACAGCACATTCAGTCTGTAACGCATCATCCAGCGTCTGCGCGTACCATTCGACGCCATTTACAGCAGAGTGGTCTGTCCGCAAGACGTCCATTGCTTCGTCTACCATTGACGCAGAACCACAGACGTCTCCGCCGCCAATGGTGCAATGAAAGAAGGATGTGGACTGCAGAATGGAATGAAATTGTCTTTACTGACGAGTCACGCTTCTGTCTGCAACACCAAGATGGTCGAATTCGAGTCTGGAGACACCGTGGAGAGAGGATGCTGAACAGTTGCGTTATGCACCGCTACACTGGTCCTGCACCAGGTATTATGGTATGGGGCGGTATTGGATATCCCTCTCGCACTCCTCTAATACGCATTGCCGGTACTTTAAACAGCCAGAGCTACATCTCCGAGGTATTGGAGCCAGTTATCCTTCCTTACCTTCTGGGGTTGCCCACAGTCATATTTCAACAGGATAATGCGCGACCACACGTGGCACGCATTGTTCAAGGGTTCTTCGTCAATCACCAGATTGAAATGCTTCCTTGGTCGGCTCGCTGTCCGGATCTTTCGCCGATAGAAAACATGTGGTCCATGGTTGCTGAATGATTGACTCAGATTACATCCCAAGCTGCCACACCAGATCACCTTTGGCAACGTGTGGAAGCTGCTTGGTCTGCTGTATCCCAAGAACACATCCAAAGTCTCTTTGAATCAATGCCGAGGCGTGTGGCAGTGGTGATCTCCAACAATGGCGGCTACTCTGGCTACTGATTCTGGAAGGAACCACACTTCACAGAAGTCTATAAATTTAATCATTTGATACTTGGTCAACATGTTATCTACTAAATAAATTTTGTTGTGATATCTATAGCCTTTCTTTGTGTTGCAATTTGGGTGGCCAGCAGTGTACATTTATAAGCATTAAATGCATTATTGGAAATACGCCAAATGCGACGGGAATAAGCTCACTGAGAAGACCATCTCTTGTTATGAAGCAATTAACATGAATTCTTAATTCTGGGTCCGTTTCATTCTTGTGTCAAATCATCTTTTAAATAATGCTGTCGCTATGTATTACTTTTAAAAAAATATTATAGCGAATATGAAACTTTAGAATTAATGCACTATAGCACACAAATTCAAAATTATCGCTCCCAGATTTTTAAAAGGTTACTCGTCTTTGGGGATGGATTTCATTAAAATTTTCCATGTTAAATGCAACTAATATTAACATGTAAAATTAAAAAAAAATTTTAAAATGTTTGATTAAATATTGTAATTTAACTTTAACAACTAGCTCATCAATACAGAACAAATAAAATTCGAAAGCGGTTTTACTGAATTGAGCTGAAATTCTATAGTTTTGGGTAATGAATTTTAATTTGGGAAAATACTTCAGGCAGTACTAAGAGATAGAAGAGCAATTGCATGGAAGTGGTCTCATTTATCGGCAATATAACAAATAATTTGACAACTTTAGTGGGAGTGAAAAGATGATTATATTATAACACAGTAAAATTAAATATTAGTTGAACAGTCGATGTTATATCAGTGATTAAGATTATAAAGAAAAGTCAAATAACTCCAGGAAGCTTTTGCGTATATATGTAAATGATTATTAGCAGAATTTAGGTATATTCTGTACAAAATCTTTATCACTAATGAATGATGAATAATTTTTACGATAAATCGAAACCAAAATTTAGCGAAGAAACATTAAATAATGTCTTATTTTCTTGAGTTATATAGTCTAATGATACCATTCTTAGTTTTATAGCCTCCTGAGGTTTAATCAAATTATAATTTTAGGCTATAACTTTGTAACAATGAATTGCCAGTGTAATACTTAGGCACTGTGATTTATTTATCATTATAACATAGTGAGTCTTCAACACTAAACTGCGCCAACTTTAATCTGTACATTCTTCAAAGCATTTGCTAGGACATTTACGAGAAATAAGAACATTATTTGTATGAAATGTTATTTTATTCCAGTGTATTATCATTAAAAGTTTGCTCAGTAAAGTAAAAGAGAACTTCAAACAAACATAATAAATTATTAGGTTTTCAAATCTTAGAATTTGAAGAGACATCTTACCTGCTATGAGGCACACAGATAACCCGATGAGTTCCGTCCTCATTGCCATTTTAATGAGTTTTCTGTCCCGAATGGTCAAACCAAAAGTAAAAGCCATGATGGGACCCTAAAAAGGAAAATAAATGCTTATTTATGCAGGAATTGACATGAACTAGCAAGGCTATGTCTTATTATACAACTTGCTGTCTGCAACGTCTGGAACGTATGCCAGTCGATGATTATCATTCATTATGATTGCTTTAGTAAATTTACTAATACTGGTATTCGATAATTATTTACAACTTTGAGCGGTAGCCAGAGTGTTATTTTTCTATTTTCCTAAGATTTATAACTCTTTGAATGTAAGTTACTGGTTATTACTTGCCAGACTTTATTATTTTCCTCTTTTCAATTAGAAACAATGTAAAATTAGTTATTAAAATAATTTTTTTCGCAAAAGCTGGAACACCGCTTTTGAATTGGAGCTGTTTTAAATTTAATCACAAATTTTAAAGAAAATATTCAATTAAAACTGCTTAAAGTGTTTCACTCAGTAAATAACCCACAAAATATGTTCCACGTTAAAGGCAAAGATATAGCCCGGTTTCAGAATAAATAAAATGATTACTTTTATTAAATAAAGAAAGTATTCTTAGAATTACTTTATATTCCAGATGTGTATTAAGTTTTTTATTAGTTTATTTTGGTAAATTAAGTTTAAAAAGTCTTATTTCAAAGATTAAAAATTTGATTCTTTTTCTAATTTTGTTAACAATAACTTGCTGAAAAGTCGGGTAAAAATGAAACGACGGCAATCTTTTACAAATACTTCCACATGCGATTGAAACTGACATATAGAAATTTCATCACATTTTAGAACTTGCCAGAGTAGTGAATTAGAATTAATATTATATTGTTTTATCTACGTATTTAAGTTTATTTCTAATAATTATCAAAGAGAAAATCGAAATGATGCTTTAAAATGCAATATCATATTTAAGTGCAATAGCTATTATTTTGCTTAAGCTTTGATTTGTTCAATATCATGATATATTTTGCATATGAAAATGCAATATTATATTTAATTGCAATAGCTATTATTTTGCTTAAGCTTTGATTTGCTCATTGCACATACATTAAGTTTCTTGAAATTACTTCAATGGCTCTGCAGCTATAAATTTCTTGATTCTTATTTAATGTTAAATTTTTTTAGCTACAAACGTTGTTACTAGAACCACCAGCGGCCAAGCGGTAAAAGCTGGTGAACACTGGTAGTTCGATCCGGGGTTCGAATCCCGGCGACCGAGCTGACTGCATGGGCGTTTTCGTGGCTTTTCCCATGTGTAACGTGGATACGAGCCAGTTTCCCTTAAAATGATCTTCACGGGGCATTCCTCCCTTTCCGTGTAGTGCCTAAGGGCAGAGCACGTAATAAGTATAAAAAAATGTTGTTACCGTAATAAGTATAAAAAAATGTTGTTATATCTAATGATATAATTAAGTCCCCCGTTATAATATCCTTTCCTTTTAGGCTAGTAGCTCTACCCTCCTTTGCCATATTTGATTAAATAAATAACTTGACCGTTTTTTCGAGAAACTGGCTTTCATGTATAAACCATTTGTTGAAGGTTCTAGGAAATAAAAATTATTAATGGACAAGAAATGTTTTGTTTTGGTTTATTTGATTACGGTAAAGCACTCGAAGGCTATCTGCCTAAGACGAGAGATGCCTTCGTAGAGGCCTTTCTAAAGGAACTGGCTCATAATAATAAAGGAACTTTGCACATGGGGTAAACCACGAAAACTTCATGCAGCCATCCGGTTATCCGGGATTCGAAGCTTGGATCGAATGACCAGTGTTCAGAGACGTTAACGCTCGGCTACTTAACGAGAAAGGGAAAAACAGTTTTAACAAGGCAAACATTTAGTTACTCCTTAACATACTACAATATTTCCTAATTTTTCACACCAAAAGTATATTTACGTGAGTAGTTTCATAATTCAGATTCTCTTATAAAAGAAAACATTACCATTTCGTTTTCGCAAGTTTCCTTACAAATGCGAAATTTGTTTTACATGTCCAAAATTGGAATTGTACCAATGTCCAAAAGTTAAACCGCTAATGGAAAAATTAGCATATAAGGCGAAAAAAACAACATAAAATGCATCAAATTTGGATACATCACAGGCGTACGTGCTTGGTAGCTAACCCGAAGAAAAAAAATTATATACAAAATTTTTTGATTAAGAAAGGCATTAGCTATAAAAATGGAATATGTTTTGCAGAACCTAAACTTCAGAAGCAAAACTGAAAGAAGCATATCTGAAATGAGAATGAATGCATTCATTACGTATAACTAATGCGATATATTGCTTTGTAGCATAATATAATTAATTGCCGTTGTTTACAAATATAAATAAATAAGATTCAGGTTGTTTATGTTCATTGAGGTATGTTCCTACGGTATGAAAATTTGTAACTTCTCTATAATCTATTAAACATCCTTCAGTTAAAAATACAGTATTATCCTCTTACTTCCATCTTCTGTACCTTCCCTACTCTTCACCGAAATATAATTATCAAATAACTAAATGCCTATTAAATCAAATTTTAACAGTAGAAAACTGCAAAGCATGGAAAATACAGAGTGTTTATAATAATAATATCGGGATTTAACAAAAGTTCCCGCTACCGCAAATAACATCTGCGCAAACAGTTCGGGTTGCCGTCTTTAACCATATTCTTTCAAATGAGTTTTGGCATTTGAAAGAAAGAGACTTGCTCTAAAACACTGTGCTTTGAAGTTTTAAACATTAAGTACAATGTGAGAAATGAACCTATCACGCTACGAGATCTGAACCATAATTTACTTTCAGTTCTGTTGCAAAAAGTCAGCTACAGAATGTCACCAAATCATGTGTACAGCTTTAGGTACTAATATTGTATCATATGACACTATGAAGGTTTTGGTACTGAAAACTCGAAAACAAGGTTTATGACATTCAGAAAGCTGCGCGCTCTGGCCGGCATACTGATGTTGATGATGCTCGCCTGCGAGAACTTGTGAAAGAAGATCAGTATATACAACCATACTCGAGAGCTTGTTAAGGAGTTAGACGTTAGTGCCATGTATATTAGTCGCGCAAAGCATAGCATAAACTTGACGTATAAGTTCAATCGCTAAGTGCCGCATGAGCTGATTCAAGCAGATAAGGGCAGACGTGTTCGGGCTTGCACTAATCTGCTCGAATATCAACGTAAGGAGAAAATTATCGACCCGATCGTCGATTTTCATCAACAACGCAGGTCAAAACGGAGGTTGATCTGGGTCCGGTGAGCTCGTCGGCAGCGTAGCAAAGCGCAATTTGCCTAACAAAAAGATATGCTCTGTATCTGGTAGGATTGCCATGGTATTGTCCACAAAGAGTATCTGGGGAAAGATAAAAACCTCGACATTAAGGTGTACCACGAGTTTCTAGTCCTAGTTGATGCTGCTATCAAGGAAATCGTCGAACCGAGTTCCGGCACAAAAAGGTAATGTTTCATCAAGATGAAAGACCACATGTGTCTGCATTCACCAGCTGTACTCTGTACGGATCGAATAGGATCGGATCTTTTGCCATACCCACTATATAGCCCCGACATCACTCTTCGGTGTTCTATCTTTTTTCACACCTGTAGCTATATCTTGATGGTGCTATCTTTCATTCTGCACAGGACGTCCGAAATGAGGTTGATCACCTTTTGGACTCTCGGCCACAAAGTTTCTGGGCCGAAGGCTTTGAAAAACTGCAAAAATGTAGGCAGAAAATCATACGTTTGGGTAACGATTACTACCCGCAATAAAGGTACTAGTTGTTTTTTTTCTAACTTTATTAAGAACGGTTTTTGGCGGAAAACTTTCGTTACAACCAGATATATAAAGCGGTAGAAAAAGGAAGTCGGGATCAAAGAAAGCTACCGAGAAAATAAAATGGAGTCACGTAAAGCTGTTTCAAAATAAACTCTAAGCTTACCAGAGTTTTTGAGTAAAAAGAGTTTAGTGTTTTACACTTCAGACCAATATATGGAGGTCACTGTTAAACTTAATCATTTTATTGCACACAACACTAAACATAATATACTTTATTTTATCCAATACAAATATATATTCGTAAAGCTTCCCGTAAGATTCGAATATGTAGCTGTATTAGTGTGCTTCTGCTGTTCTGATAGCCAGTAATTGTTTTGAAAATACCATTGCAAGAACAGCAAGTCACAGAAACGAAATCACTTGTATTTTGTGTATTACTTTGGAGATAAACACAAGCGTTAAAATTCTAAATGTTTTAAAATCATCAGAGGCATAATGTAATTTAAAAAATTAAATTATTATTTGTTAAAAACTTGGAACTATCGCAAAGACTTTTACTTCAAATTGTCAACTCCTGCTTGAAGCAAAGCGAACCGCATTTAACATCCACAGTGCAGCCTCGCCAGGTTTTATTTGATTTAGGCAAAACACGCTAGGACTGTCTGCCTAAGATCAGAGATGCCTTCGTTGAGGAGATTTAAAAAAAAACTGGCTTATATGTGGGGAAAACAACGAGAACTCCACGCAGCCAGCCCTTTTGTCTAGAATCGAGCCCACAGTCTGGCCAGGACTGGAATATATTGCGTTTTTTTTACAACTCAGGCAGAGCGATCCTTGAGAAGAAATTCTGCATAACGCCAAAAACATCCTCAAAAGGATTCGTTAAGGTGATTTTAGCTTCAAATTTATTTCTTTGGACACTAGTAAATTTGGAGTTGTAAGCGACAGAAAGGAACTTACCATGATTGGAGATATGAGCATGGCAGCTACAATTATGATGGCGCTGTTCTCGCTGAGTCCAAGAGCAGCAATGCAACTGTTGGATGATGAAGTAAATATATTAATGACTGTTTGTCATCATTAATGAAAATGCCATAGAATATAAGCAACATATAACACAACAACATATAATGCATCCGCTTTAAACATCTAATTTACTTTTCTCAAATTTATTATAGACCATTCTAATATGCATAATGATGATGTAAGGTTATCGTGTAAAGTGCGTTTTTAATTTTATCAGCCCAATTAGTCCATTTAGTTCTTTATCTATTGTACCTTCTTCTAGTATCAGCCCGCTCATTTGAGAAAACCCAAGAAATTATAAATAACGATCAAATTTAATGCTAACGAGTGTTTTAATTTGTGGGATTTTACCCGTGTATAAGCATAAATGTATATCCTTCAAATCCTACTAGACTGACAAGCGAGATTTATCTCCAGTATGAATTAATATGATAAAGACTTTCAAAAGTTAAAGTAGTCTTTTCATTAGCTCTTTAAATTTAACAGAAACCACCACTTCACCTTACAAAACAAAATCCCGCCACTTACGGTTAATTACATTCTGTGACAATGAAATTGCACCACCATGAACGCATGCTTTGAAGAATATGCAAATTGCAGTGCAAACATAGTGCAAGTAGTTGTGCGAATGATACAAAATGCCCCGCATTCTCACCCAGGTGAAGCGGGAAATAAGGGAAGGAATCTGCAGAATCGAAAATAGTCCTTCTGCTCCATCGAGAAGAGTAGTAATCATTTAGCCGAAAATGCTTTTACTTCCTTGTTCGAAGTAAAAAGGAAGTATTGTAATCGCGAAAAGTTTCAGGCAGCATATTTCAACGAAAATATCCCACTTTGACCTCTTTCAAATGCAATTTAACGATGTATTTCCGTGATATCTGTATGTAAGGACAGAAAAACACTCTTTTCCTCCAAAAAAATTATAAAACTGTTTTAAAATGAATTCTGAAGAGAATTTTCGTGGCGTCTGTACGAACGTATGTACGTACGTATCTCGCATAACTCAAAAACGAGTAGCCTCAGAACGTTGAAATTTTTGTATATACGACTGCTATAACATTGTAGATGTGCACCTCGTATTTTGGTGGCAATCGGCCACACCAAACGTATATAAATATATTTATATATATATCCACTCTGTTACCCGGCTCAGTGATCTCAGTTTCTTACTCTTATATGTTGTAAAATTGTACATTTTTTGCTTTAAAAATGATTGAATTATGTTGTTTTTATCTTCCGATTAAGGGTTTTATGCCTTTAGTAAATCTCTATGCAAATTATTTAGAATTATCAACATTTTAAACTTTTTAAGTGCCGCTAAGCCTAATAATGTTTTTTGATGGCGGCCATTGCTCTTGTTTACATTTGAAACCGCAGGATAGCGGATTTGTTGCCAATCTAGAGAAACTTAGATTCGCAACAACAAAGATAACGCCTTCATTTATTATTTAAATCATGCTTAATCCTTTCTGGAATTTTTTCGAGGAAATACGCGTTTAAGATTTACTTCGTCATTTTAAATACAGATATTTTGAGTTTTTATGTATTTTTGCCTTGTCGCGAAGTAAAAACTGAATTAATTGAATGAGAAATACTGAATCGTCTGTGAAAAACTGTTTCTTTTTGGTTTTGTTTGCTTAATTTCTTTTATACATCGTTCTAGATTTATTATAGTATTTGAATAGAACATGTGACAACGATTAGACAATTCTTCAAATGATATAAATTTTTCTTCAAATGATTAAATTCTGAGTCATAATATGAACTAAATCTAACACTGTTAAGTGAACCTAGCGCCAGAGTGTCGTTATGGTACACAAATATAGTGAATTTTAAAGAGTGTATTTATTCTATTGTGGTTTATGCGCTGTCGGCGAAGTAGGTTTAATTCAATCTAATAAGTTTAAATGATATGCAAGAAAAAATGCGTATAATTTAATATTCCGCACTAGGAAGTCATGTGGTGTACGCATGAGATTTTTTATTATCATAGAAGAAGCGTCAGCACGGAGAATGCCGGGACGCCGAGGCGCAGACGATGAGAAACAGACTGCAGGAACTGAAGTCCATCAGACTGAAGAGAACACGAGGTGTATGGTGAGCGGACTGAGAATAGCAGGTTGGTCCTTGTGCTGAATCGCAGCGGACAGGCATTTATACTCGTCTAGGGTGCAACGACGGTGGCAAAAATGGTTTGAAGAAAGGAATGTAGCGGGTTCATTGGATGGCGGTGCTGTCAGAGTGACTTCAACACGCGTGGATTGATGCGGGCTGCAGATGCGGACTTCAGTACGTATCCGCAGGCATGCGGTAATGACCCTATAAGTCACTTCCGTCGACATTTTCAGGAAGGTGCAGGACACTTTTGATGCTCTCGTATCGACTAAGGCCATTATTCGTTGATTTTCAACTTATGGACTACATTTATGGTGTTCGTTAAGAAGGCTGCCAATGAGCCAACATCACAGGCGGGTCTGGTTTTCGATGGTGTCCGGATAGAGCCACGTGGAACTTGAAGTGACATAATTTTCTTTAAGCAATAACAATCACCGTGTACAAATCTGGTGGAGACGTCGTGACAGGTCAAATTCGGCCTCAACTACTGAACGCCACACTGCGCAACAGCGCGCCGTCATGGTCTGATGCACCTTAACCTACGATAGCAGATCACCCTAGTCCGTATTGTTGGCAGTATGACTCCCCAACAAAACGTGGATAACGTGTTACAGCCGCTTAGACTACCCGTCCTTTAGGGTGTGCTGATAAATGGACGCATAATGATAAATGGATGTAATGGTAGACCGCACTTTCGGCGTACATCAGCCAGCATGCCCTGCCAAGTTATGCAAGCTTTACTTAATATCGGACCTTATTTCAGCATGCCATATATATTTATTAAACACACTCGCTTATTAATTAGAAAGCCTTATTTCAGCATGCAGTAACACGCCAACCTTAATAGCGCAAATTCATCTCTGACAGGAAATTTACAAGAAGTAACACATTCAATTTGTTTTCGTAATATTTAACTTTTTCTCTTAGATTTTACACTCGCCTATTACGATTTTAAGTTTATTAAAAACAAAAATAAATATTTCAATGCATTTATTCCATAACTAAGGGATTTTACTCATACACATTATGTGTATTTTATAAGTGTTCAAAAGCATGAAATATTAGGTATATATTTTTAAAATTATTAGGATATTCCTCATGTGCAATACTATAAAATGAATTCTCAAGAGTTTACATGGCAGAGGCTCTGTGCAGTGGTGAGAGACATAAATTTATAACAATATTTCAGAAATGCTTCTTCGATAATATTGCATTTATCTAGTTATATTTAACTAATAGTTAATTTTAAGTTCAATTACTTTTCTGTCACTCTCTTTTCACCCACGATTTTCATGCCAGAATGCTAATGAGATAGCGAACGTTTATTCTGATTGAAGGAGAAAGAAGTACTATTTAAGCGAAGGTTACGCAAGTTAATTTTAGACACCTGCTCTGTCCAAAATCTCAGCTGAATATGTGTATGGCATGATTTTGACTTCATCCTCATCACTCATTTAATGCAAAGCAAATGGTTGTAAATATTGTGTATATAGTCTTCTAGTTTATGAGAAAAATTTGTATTTTTACGTATTATATCTTGTCTCCAGGACTCACTTAGGCATTTGTCCCAGCATCGCTACATGAAGCAACCAAACGGAGATAGCCGGTACACAGCATGAAGCTTTGCAAGCTAGACGCGGCGACAATGGCAAATGGAAGTATTAATTTTAGAGAGTATTCTGCCTACTTCAAGCCACGTTGTATGTTGACTTATTAGCGATTTGATTCTGTGGCGTTGAGTGCTTCTAGCCAAGCGGTTGTCTCGCCGGTTTTCTACAAACGAGAGCCTTTCTTGCGCGTTACTTTATCCTGCGAGCCGTTAGGCTAAGCTAATAAATTTGATTTAGTTCAACATTACATATTTAAGCTAAGGCAGAAGTGCTGGCCTCTGTAAACCTAAGTTGGGTCATTGTTATTTTCTTTGTGTTCAAACTAAAGGGTCTTATACAACCTTCTTTTGATTTTTGTTTCTGAACATCAACATTCTTTTTTAAAAATCTTAGTTTATCCTCCCTAAGAACGCTAGACTTTACAATATGAATGAAAGTAAAGAGAAAAAGATGGGGAGTTTAGCTGAAGGCGAAATGCTAGCTTCAAAAATAAATTAAATCTTACATTTTGTTTTAGGAACAAGAATCAACATGGGGTTATTATTCTAGTCAGAGAAGTCTGATAAAAGTAGCGATCAGTTGAAGATATGTAAAGGCTCCATCCACATGGAACGTTTTTCATTTTGCCCTGCATAAATTCCAGTTTAGATATTTCGTACTAAGTCTAAATGCAAAACTAAGACAGCAAGTCTGGATTGCAGAATTTCAGAATATCTCAAACATAAGTATAAAAATAAGTCCCACATATAAATGTAATCCCCAACATGTAAGAAGTTCCAAATATAAATGTTATACTAAAAGGAAGTTAATGCCTCTCATTTTAAAGAAAAATATTACCTGGCAATAAAGACGAACATGATGAAATCGAATGAAAGTGATCCGTCATTTCTGACTCGCTCCACGACCTGAAAAAGCAGATTACAAATATTATAAGATTTACGTCAATCTAACCATTTTGCTGAAATTGAAAGGTATTTAGGTGACTGTATAGTAATTAAGAAGCGGAATTAATAGGCAGCGGGTAAAAATTAATCATTACAATCACGTTTGGAAGAAAAGCACATCAGTATCAAATTTAAAATTACAGAAAAAATTAACCCTAGATAGATATTCATTTCATCGAAGAAAAAAGAAACTTACGTATTTTTATAGGCCACGAGCATATCTCCCTTCCATTACATAAAGAATTTTCATGAAAGTATTGCCAATATAAAAACATTTGACCTCTTATTTTAAATTAAGCCCTGTTTTGATATTGATTTTACACAATCAACACCAAATTAATTTGAAATCATAGACGAAGTGACATTTAGTTTTGTTATTTTTAAAAGGTTGGCATTTTTACTTTAAATATACTACTTCCATGATTGGGCTTGATTTCTAAAGCCAGAAATTTTGTCAGGGGCGTTAAACAAAAGCAGATAAATAAAAGAATTAACAATGTTTAAATAAATTTAAATAAATTGCAAAGGAATGAATGAAAAAATAAATAAATTAAATTAATTACAAACAAGTAAAGATTAAATTAAAATATCATAAAAATTAAATATAATAATAAAACAAATGGAAAAAGAGTTAACTTGATGCAAAATTAAAAGAGATAGTTATCAAATTCAAATGGAACTTTGAAACAAATATAAAGCAAGTAAATTAATTGTAACAAAACATGGGACCAGGATAAGAGATACCTAAATATTTTAAACAGTATTCTTCGTCGACAGATAAAATTGATTCCTTGTTTTAGTTTTTGATAAGTTTAAAGATTTCCTAGAACATAATTAAACCAGCTTTTCAAATCAAGTAAGTACACCCCATAAAAGTATCCCTTCCTGAAGGAATCTATTTCGACATGGGGTTTTCTTCCTTAACTCTTAAAGTTTCCCGCGCAGTTTGCTCTCCCGCGGTAAGTGACAATAACATTCAATATCAGTTTTATTAAATAATTAATAAAATGTGATACAAATTATAACAGAATTTTTTTTATTAGCATCGCGATTCAGTTCTATAAAAAGAAGTGACGTTCAGCTTATTTGGAGTTCCCATGCCCTTTCGTTAGAACTACGGTTTTACTAAAAACTGAGAGGTGCTGAGGCGAATTTGCGTCCTGTTCTAGAATTGATTTCTACATTAATTCAAGTGTTTTAATTAAATAATCAAAAAGACTGCTATGTATGATGAAATGAACTGAAACAAAAACAGGAATTTTACCTGCGCGACAGTGAGTCTAGCCGTTACGGATTTCAAAAACTCTTTCTGCATGGCTTTAAAACCCTTCCCTTTCTTTTCCGGTGCTTGTTCTTCCCCACTAAAAAGAAAAGAAATAGTCTTTAGAACAGAGAATTCATTGAGACTGAGAAAGAGCAAATTTACCAAACATGGAGTAGCAAGGAATTTTACTTGACAGTCAAAATCTACTTCAAGATTGAATCAAATAATTAAGATTTAAAATTTTGATAATTTTTATAGTTGCGATTTGTACTGCATTTGGTTCAGAAAAACGTGAGCTACAAGAGAAGTAGCCGATAGTTCTTTGTTCAAAATGTTCGTGGAAAAATCATGCTACGGGTAAACTTGCAGCAGTAAGTTATCCACAATGACACGACAACCATCCATAACAGACTTTGCTGCCATTCTTTCAATGCTTCCAGGTATAGCAGAAGCACTGCACACTGTAGCAAGTGCGTGGTGCGTCCCTTAAAGATTGACAAAAATAGTATCTTTATAGCTCAAATAGTACTGTCCTAAAAGTATTTTGAGCAAAGATTGTGGTGGATTTTATACCTCACAACTCAGAAAAAGATCTATTAATATCTAATTATCTAATATTATATTAGATATTAGATATATCTAATTATCTAATATCTAATTATTAATCATTAATCATATTAATGATTATAATAATTATAATTATTAATATGATCTATTAATCTAATATGCGTCTGGCGCATGCCAGACGCATATTAGATTCTTCTACACACAAACATTCACCAAACATAAGTTTAAAATAACAGCAGGTTTATAAAATCAAATGAAGTAATAAAATGATGAATAATGAGATAAACAATTACATAAAACTCCATTACGATTTCAGATGTTAAACAGGAGTAAAATCATAAAACATGAGAAACATTAAATACGTAGCATTAAAATACCAGGAAATAACATCAAAATTGTATCAAATTAAATTATAAGGAACCCATTTTAAAATACAGGTTTTCAATTAAATAATGACGTGCCGACAGAACACTATCATAGTATGAATAAACAAGATTTACTCTCAGTCTTCAAACGGTGACTGTGAGTGACTCGAGAGTGACCAATTCTCAGACGGGGCTGAGATTACTTCCTCCTTCCGGTTTCTAATTGCCTCCCCGTATTCCACTGTAATTTTCATGCTTCTAAACTTGTTACTGACCTAAGCATCCTACAGAAGCTGTCATTTATTCGAGCTTTTCTTCTTGATGTTTTTGTGACTATCTCTAAGTGAAACCGGCCGGCTGCACAGATCAAAGGCAGATTTTGCTGTGATGTCTGCTAGCTTGTTTCCGTTAATACCCACATATCCGGAAACATAACAGTACATTTGATACAGCAGTTAGTTCTGATGTCAAGACTAAGCAAGCGTCATGCAAACTTTTGTGCTTCAAGTGGCTACCAATTGCAAATGCTGTTCCAACATGACCAATTGCTTTTGTTCCACCTTTACATATGAGAATATTACTGCTATATTTATGTTCGTGATCGAGAAAAAACTGTTTGCATATAATTTTGTTAGTGTTTCTTTTTTCGGGATCGCGAAAAGCATAAAGTAGTTGGATTTGTGCGTGCTTCCAAGGTGGGATTCTAAAATGTTATACCGGTTTGGCGGACACATTAGACGTGGAGTGTTCTTTAATCAAACAATGAGCTCTTAAAGATAAGAAAGCTCTTAAGATGCTTCAAACACAAGGTCAAACAGAAGGTCACACGTATTATCAAAAAGCACACATTACTAGGATGCTCAGCTCGTGAAAGTATACTGAAATAATGTAGATATTGCTCATGCCTCCACTGGAGTGATGGTTAGTAAGAATCAACGTACAGACTCTAGATAGGAGATGTACTAAAGGCTCTGAAAAAAATAGGCAGATCCTGGTGATGAATAGGATCTAATTTCAAGAAAACTCCCTTTTCAGCGAACAATTTCAACATAAGTATAATGCGGAAGAACATAAGTATAAAGATTATAATAAGTATAATAGGATAAGTATAATAGGATTAATTATAGTAATTTAATGATGTATTAGTTTAGTAATTCGATTAAATAACACTTTCATATTGACAGTTCAGATAAATGTGAGAATGATCACATATCTTGAGGCAAAGGAAATCATACTTTTCGAAAATGCTTCTTGTTAACATATTACTTTTTTTTAACAATCCATTTTATTTGACTAATGCATACCATCTTTGGTACGTGTAACGATCTCTCATTAGGAAGTGAATATACTTTGAGGGGAATATTTCTTCCGCTTAAAAGCAAATTGCCCTTTGCTTTTAAATAGGTCGCATTTTGAAAACCTTCTTATTCAACCCTATTTATTTAAAATCAGATGAATATGTTCAATGTGTATACATTCTTTCGAATTAATTTAAATGTTTTGATAGAATTATTGCTATTTTACGGAAGTTTTATACATTTTTTTCTATGCTTTCGAATGTATTAGCAAATGGTATAAAGTTCTTATTTATAAGTTTTTCACTAAAGAAATATATGTTTTTATGAAACCAAAAGGCTCAATTCGTGTTAAAAAATTGTTGATTTGGTCTTTAATTTGTCGAATGGATCGGGATTCATGTCTTGCTTATTGAGATCAATATCTTGCTCACCGCATATATGCAACGGTCAGTGCTTGAAATCCCAAACACTGAAGCACTTTTCAACAAATCCCAATGTTAGATCAATGTTTAAATCCCGATGTTTCCAAATTTTTGAATTTCTTACACATTAATAATTTAGATATATGAAAGTTATACTATATTGCTACATTTAAATAAATTTAAATTGCATGTTACTAATTCGGGTGAATGTAGGTGTACCATATATATGTAAGGAGGCAGAGAATTATATTTTCATCAGCACTATTTCTGGTGTGAGTATGTGATAAAATTTTATTTTTTACTCTGTTTCAGATAAATGTAATTCTGCATTACAATTTCAAACACAGTTGAACAATTCTTTACCATAGAGGGAAAATTATGAATTATGCAATACTTTCAGGAAATAACCGAAATTATAAAGTTGGGATTTGATGAAATGTGTTTCAGTATTTGGGATTTCAAACACTGACCGTTGCGTATGTGGCAAACAAGGTACCTCGGAGTACTACTTAGAAATTGTCAAATAACAGGAGGACTGCATATAAAGTTTCAAATGAACAGTTCGCAAGGGTTCAGATGATATTTAACCAAGGAGCATCATTTAATACAGAAAATCTGCAAGATAATAAATATGTTCTTCATACACGGAGAATACTGCTCTGGGTAATAAAATACCTCAGGGTACAACAATTTACAAGGGCATTTATTTTTTAGCATAACAACAATTCGTAGGTGGGCAGTATGTTAATAGAAATTTTATACATAGTACCATAGAATCTTTGTAACAGAAAAGAAATACCAACCGATGTGACTTGGTTCATGGACATACGAACTGATGTTTCATATTTTGAATATAAGCTTTAGCATTAAGATTCACTCATAATTAGCACTTTACGCATAATTGTTAGCTGCATATGCGCAATGAACTTAACATGTTTGTGTTAACATATATATTGTGTTCTCTTGCGGAAATGTCCGCCAGTGGCCGAGTGGTAAAGTAACTGAGCACTGGTAGTTCGACTGGGGTTTTAAATTCCAGGGAACGGAATAGATCTATCTACATAGGCGTTTTCGTTGTTTCCTTTTATGTAACGTGTGTATAAGCCAGTTTTCTTTAAAAACTCCTTCACGAAAGACTCCCTAATCTTAGGCAGATAGACATCGTACGTTTTTCCATAATCAAATAAATCCATCTATTTTGTGAATTCTATTGTATTTTATTGCCCATTTGCATTACAGAATCGTAATGTATGTTACTATAGTCTTTCGTATATCTTTGTATATATAACTTTAGTAGTATTCAGTATAAATATGCAACCTACAGTGTTATAGCTGTACACTAACAGATTAATAATGAAAATATAATTGAAGATATGCAGTGCCATTTACCCTCCTATTACGAACGCTTGACTTGTCGGGTCCTTTCTCACTCGCTAGTGGGAACATGAGGTAAAAGCGACTAACCTGTACTAAATAGACGGTGCTCTCGTTCTCCGTCAACAGTGCCCAGTGAATTGTGTAGTTACTTGAAATATGTAACAAAACAGTTTTTAGTGGAAATTACATCTTAAATCGTTGCGAAGACTGCTGATATATTAAATATTCATCTGTTTAACGTAAACCAGTAAGAAATGGCTCAATAATGAAAATATTACTTACTTTTCATTGTCAGAATCTTCACCTTGCATTTCTTCGTCTTCCCCATAATCTCGATAGAAAACATCACATGGCATGATACTAAGAAGAAATATTCAGCATTAAATTAGTTTCAAAATGGAGAGCCGAAAGAAAATCTATTTATCAATATAAAAATTCAGTATACTTTACAAATTATTTATATATATATATATATTGTTCAAAAGAATAAATTGAATTTAAATTTAATTAATTCTTTGCTCCATTGCTGCAAGGAATGAAATTTAAATTTTAACAAACATGTAAATACGTAAAAAGGAAATTTAAATTTAAATAATTAAAAAATGTGCAAACTATAAAGATTTAATTTTCGAACTAATCTACAATATCATTTAAATTCTATATGAAATTATATATATATATATACATATAATAATATATATATATATATACATATTATATTAGATATATATATTATTTATATTATATATATATATATCTATATTATATTATATAATATATATATACTCATCTAACTTATCTATACATAAGCGAACACTACTATGTGAAAATCTGGCTTGCAGAAAATACAAATAGGTTTACTTTGACAAAATTATGGCGATGAGTTATCTTAAAAAAATTTAAAGCATTTTGTGCTAACCGCGATTAATTTTGCACCATCGAAAGTCCTTGTTTTCTGAAAATATCTAGATTTTAGGTATCTTCCATTTATTTAAAATTTAATGAATAGATAAGCGTTTAGACAGTAAATTAAATTTTCATGCAGCAATAATTTAGCACTTTTAGAACTATACTTTACTATGTACGCCTACCTTTAAGAATAATATTTCATAACATACCGAGCTAATGCAAATCTGAAGTATGCTTAATGCTATTATTTCTTATTACTGTATTTTAATCATAATGAAAATTTATAACTATTATTTCTGAAATATAAGGTTAGGTCATTCAGCTAAAATGTTTGAAAATAACAGGACAGTTAATGCTCCCCAAAATCGGAAACAGTAAATCAATAGAAACAACTCAAAAAATGCAAACGAAATTTTATCTTTTCGATCCAAATAAGCAGATTTCTTTCAGAATTTAAATTAAGAGGAGAAATTGTACTGGCATTCAAGGAAAACTTTTTACGTAATGCATTTTTATACGAAATCAATGAATATGTATAAAGACATTTTAACACTTTCACCGATAATATAATATATAAGGTTTTCACCCATCGTTAATCTATCTAGCGCCTCAATTTGCTAAATGCCAATTGATGCATTTCCAGAAAAACTGTAAAACAGATTACATTATTTTGGGGACAATATCATTAAGAATGAACTCACCCAACAGTGGACAAGCCTTTCTCCCCAATGCCTCTATTTTGGATGGACTGCAGAACAAAATCGCATTCCATGCCTGGCCCTTCGCAAGGGAAGAAGACCTGATAAAATGTTTCTTCCTTGGACAATATCCACACGGCATCGTATATAGCTAATTTATCTAAGCAATCTTTCAAATGCTGAAAGAAAAAATGTTTATTACTTTTCTATCATCTAAAAGTTTCAAAATGATAATTAAAAATATGACAATCAGTTATATCAGTTTTTATGACGGCAGTTATATGTATGGCAAATATATTTATGCAAAATATAAAATTTGAAACAAAATGATTAAACTTAATTGGAATAAACTGGCAATAGATCTTCAGATTTATAAATTTTAATTAAACGCATCCCCCCTTTCAAAGGATACGCTTTGTTGCTTCACTATGCTGCATGTTACATAATTCCTTCCCTGCAATCTCGTTGCACTGTGACATCTGTAGCCCAATTGCTGCTCAGGATTAACACAATGACGTTTTGGCCGTAAATAGGACCGAAGTGAAGGCTATGAAAAGGACCAAGGGAGAAAAGTACTTGCTCCTGCAGTTTCTCTTAAATGTATTCTTGCTATTCAGATGATGAATTTTTAAAACGTACTTTTGTAACTTATACGGAACAAAGTGAGCTTCGCTTCCGTTACTCCATCAACATATGCTCAAGTAAAGGTAAAGGTAAAGGTAAAAGTATGGGGGACACTAGCGATGTACCATAGGTCAGCTAGTAATGCCTTACCATACTAACTCTTTGAAAAAAAAAAAAAAAAAAAAAAAAAAAAAAAAAGGTGGTAATTGCAAGTTTTATAAGAATTTGCATAGACTGAAGCTTTCCAAAAGGTCTAGAGTTTGCCTATTATGGTACATCGTGCAATTCCACAGTACGCCCCGCATCCAGTATTTATTAAAAATAATGGTGTGGAGCATAAGTCGATTACATAATTATGCTCAAGTAAAGCATTGCTTTTTCTTACTTGCTGTTGCCTGAATGAACTACGTTTCTCCCTTCGCCACCTTTCTCGTTGTCTAAAATATAAACTACGCTTATCGAAACCGTGGGGAGTGTTTAGCATCCCTAGTGCTGTATCCGGTTTAATCGGAAGTATATTTCTGAATCATTATTCGTGTAAAAAATAAAATGATACTTTGACCAGCAAGCTAGTTATGATTCATACCAGTTCTAAGAAACAGTTTTCTTGTCCATGAGTCAAGCATGATTTGGGTTTTATCTTTTCCCTCAGAACCACACCATCACACAGATCATCACGTGTACGTACTATAATTTATTTAACCTTTTAGTAACTCTTTAGGCTCTGTTAAGTAGGACATTAACCCTTATGTACATATGTAGGATATTAACCCTTATGTACATATGTAGGATATTAACCCTTGTATACCCTTATATATAATCCTTATACACTTTTATATACAGATGTGATCAAGAACTTATTTTGCAATAACTGATGAGACATCATTTAATTAGTAGCAACATTCTCTATTTTTAAACAGCCTAAAACCTGGTTCCTATAAAATTGTTGCGTGCGCACGGGTTTGCAATAGATTGAATGCACAAGTCTGATGAAAAGTTAAATAAAATTTATTCTTATCACAAGAAATAAAACAAAATGCTGAAAGAGAGGTATGCGTACAATGTCACAATATCCCACAGTAGTTATATTTTAAACTACTAAATAGAACACAATTCAAAGTGCAGAGAAAGCTAATCCGATCTCACCGCGAATTCGCTACAGTAAACAACAACAGTTATAAGGTATTTCTCCCACTTTCTAAGCGTGCCTTCGTGGTGTAGTGGTCAGCATACTGAGCCGGTATTTCAGAGGTCTGTGGTTGGATTCCCGGCGAAGACGTTGCTAATTTTTCATCTCTCCGGCCTCCAAAAAAATCGTAATATCTCTACAGTGGCGCCCGAACTAAAAGGGCTGTGGATGATGACTCTCCACACCCAGGATTTGGCGATTGGGTTCCCTAAAAAACCCAGTAGTCCTTTAAAAAGGGGAATATGAGGGCATTTCTCTCGCCTTCCTAGCGTGCCTTCGTGGTGTAGTGGTCAGCACACTGAACCGGTATTTCAGAGGTCCGTAGTTCGATTTCCGGTGAAGGCTTTGCTAATCTTTTATCTCTTCTGCTTCCAACAATTACATAATGTCTACACAGTTATCTAAACAACTGAACTGAGATTTTTTTATCCGGCTTTTATAAGCTTATACATGAGTCACGAGAAGCTTCTCGTAATCTCTTGAGGTTTCTGGAAAGCAAAGAGTAGAATTACAGTTACAGTCAACATACCAATTGCATTATTTCAATTTAAATATAAATTAAGAGATATCTGTTTATTAAATGCGCGTGCTCCTGTATTTTTACTTTTTCGGCGTAGCTTTGTCTTAAAACTCGTCATACGTTGTATTGCACGTGGAAATAAATCAATTTTAATTATAATTCTACTAAAAATAGCTAACTAAATACAAAATTCATAACAATATGTATTCCAAATCTCTTTTCATGACATTACGAAAAAGAGGAAAAGAAAAGGCACGTGAATTAATTTATTTTTAATCTCTTGGCGTGCCCTTTTCCAGTTTGTCTTATATCATGTCTCATTCAGAAAGGAAATGACAGTTGATTGGATCTTGCTCTCAATTTAGTCTAATGTTATGCGCATCATTTCTGAAACTGAAGTCATAATATTCAAAATTTTAAATATTTACATACGCCAAAAAATTACAATTAAGAAAAATTATGCTTGCTAATATCGAGAATTTATGTGTTAAAAGACGATATATTGTCATTAATATAACGTAAGCTTAAAATATGCAGACTTTACAACAAGTCAAAGAAACGAATTTGGTTACTCAGATTTATTTCATAAATGTAAAAGGAGTTTAAGGAATTTTCCCTTTTAGATCGGGATTTTTATCATACACCATTCTTTACTTTACTTTAACATGTTTTTAACGTTTTATCATAAAATGGAATTTTTGAAAACATACCCAAGTTACTTCGGCAAACTACTATTTACCATAACCACAGCGATATCTCGGATCATATGAAGTCGTAAATTAGAATACTGTCTACAATAAACTAGTTTCCTGTTTTGACACCCTAACTTTTTGAATTTAAAATTCTTGATAGTACCAAAAATATCAAACTTTCATCCAATACATGCAAGCTAATAACATAATAAAAATATGATTAAGTAGAGACATCCTCTAAAAATAACTGCTTAGTTTATTTCTAATTTTTAAATTGAAATCTTCCTCCTCTGAAACTTGTTCTCATGCAGTAAAAATGCGAATTTTATGCTCTAAAACAAATTTTTATATATAACTAAATTCAAATACATGAATTTAGAGAAATACTTGTTGCAATCCCTTCATTATCTTTAATTTATTACATTTTCTGTATAGCGCAATCATGAAGTCGCAATACTGGCCAGGTTGAGATATATATTATACTCGCTTATTAAAAAATACTACATTGTCGCATTGCAGTTTCGGTATATAAGTTATTCCAGAATCAACATATATCGCGAACGCAAAGTATTTAACATCCCGCGCCATATAAGCTTGCCGAGAATAAGGATTGTGTAGAAGTTACATGATCATTACCAGCAGCTTTAACGAATGATTGAAAACCATTATCTCGTCCGTCATCGCTTTTGTACCATCTATGCATACTTCAAAGCAAATTTTCCATTTTCAACCTTCACTCTTAAAAAATTCGTCAACTTTTCTGTATATCTTCCACTATATAGTATACGTTCTTCCAAACGCCGGCAAAATAGGTTTTCCGCCTGTATTTATTTTTAAATGTATCTGACATACTGGAAAGCTAGGAGCTAGTTGTAACAATTTTTAGAAAATGTTTATATGTTTAAATATGTTTGCGATTCCTTAATTATAATTGCTGCTTTTTATACCAACACTATTCGTTTATCATATGCATAAAACAAATATTCGGTAATTTTGCTGAATTTAGCCAAGAAATATTTTTATTAAAACTATTCTTCTCTTAGAATTTGCCCCGGACTTGGGGAAAATTATATTAGACATGGGACAAACAGTTAACTATACAAACGACAAAATTTAAAAACATTTGGTGATTATTATTATTTGATATAGTGGCAATGAATGATGTCAAGTATGTCAAGTGCTTCTTTAGTTGAACAAAGACAAAATTATTTAACCAGTCAACATCACACCACAATCCACAATCACAGCTCCACAGACACGCATATATATGCTTATATGTTCGACTCTGAGTATTTGCATAATTTTCGTTGGCATAATTAGTACCTTTCGTTCAATACCAAAACAGACGTAATTTGCAAATTCTCTTAACACTGGATACGACTGTATATATTGGCTTAGCACATAAAATTCAAAATATCATCTCATCCAGCAATAAAGCTTTTATCATCACATGGACAAGGGGTCACAGCAACTACGAGGGCAATGAGAGGGCAGACACCCTTGCAATACAAGCTGCGATAGAATAGCGAGGCGACCTTATCCACGTCCCATAGCCCCAATCAAACTAAAGTTGAAACAACTTGCCAACGAGGGCTTGGCAAATGGAATGGACGAATGGACATACTGGACGTCGGACACACAGTCTGCTACCCAAGGTTAATGAAGAACGCATAATCTCCAACTATTTCCTCACAAAATTTATATCCGGTCATGGTCTCTTCCCCACATACTTCTGCGAAAGAAATCTCTCTTCAATAAATGTGTGTGTATATGGGAGATGGGCGACCCCGATCACTACATCCTACGCCTACATGTCGCCTGACTACAACTTATCATATGCGCCATACCACGAACCCCGGAATAGAATTCCTAAGGTTACTAATTAAGCAGAGAAATGTGTATGAGAACCTTCGAAAGTTAATAGACACACTACACCAATATGGACTTGAGCTGTGCTCCCCAGAATGAGAAACAAGCACAAACCACCTAACGGCAACGTGATCTCAAAGACTGTATCTCATAATAACTGTCCTCAAAAAGGACTAGCTACAATGCTAGTTAACAATTTATATTGTACCTGTGCCTGCAACCGCTGGTACTATGCCATTGTGTCACTGGTAAAGTGTTCACATACTTCACAAGAGGAGAAGTGTA